CACGAACAAACCACAGATGCATCATGATATTGCTCCACGTAGGCACAATTGAGCTGTACAGTAATAAGCTTTAGCAAAAAGCTTGGAGGTTGACTTTCTTTTATAATGACAAGTCCATGAGAACCATTTCTCCTAAATACCTTTGATGTTGGGGATAATTCCAACAAAATGTCGATGTGGTATTTTCCGTTTTTGAGTTTCATCCACAAAAATATACTATTTTTTGAATTGCTATTTTCTTTAGCAATAAAAAAAAAAGATTGCTCACTTTGAATTAGACATCGATTGATTGAAGAGTAAAAAACACCCCCATTTTGTGATATAACTCTATCACAATTATCCAGGCGTATTAAAACTTGTTTTCAAAGTAAGCGGCGCAAAGGCAATGCAAAGTTAAAACCTTTTTCGCAGAGGGTTAAATTGCAAATGGCCCATTTTTCGTTTAGGATATAAATTGTACAACATTGAAAGTTCATTAGAAGAGAAAAAATACTTGCAGACCAAGTTGAAAATTGCGTTATATACAATAAGTTCAAATTCAACTAAAGTGACACAAAAGTTTGGTATAACGATAGAGTGTTTCTTGGTATAAGATTCCTTTTTCTTTCCGATGAGGAAAGAGTTCATTGATCAAAACACTGCATTAAAAAACCACACGATTTTACAAAGAATGTTGTTATGTTAATTCAAGTGTGAACTGTCCATTGTCCATTTCTTTCAGATGTTGGGTTCGAGGTTGGAGGCAACACGGGTATCAACTACCTGGTTCTCCAGGTGCATTACAATAACGTGGACAAATTCAAGGGTAGGTAGTCACTCAGGCTCGGAATAATGCTAATTACGGCCTCGCATCTATCGTCGCAGATGCATCTTTTAATTAATTATTTCCTATTTCCGAAACAGTCCACTTGGCTTGATAACAATAGACCTCTAATCATAGAATTGAAAAATATTATGGACGCGTACCTCATATTCACTTTGAATTACGAGAATTAATTCTCTGACATAATATTAGAAACGAGAATTAATTCTCTGACATAATATATTGTCATGTACCTTTTCTTCATACTTGTACACAAACAGAAAAAGATGCCTAAACTACAAGCAATGAAATACAAACAGACATGGCCAGCCTTCCCTTTTAAACAAATTAAACTTTGGTGTTTTTTTTTGCAGATGGAACGCGGGACTTTTCCGGCATCGGGTTGCAGATGACATTCCGGCCGTAAGTATTCGTCCGGTTGCTTCCCGCAATATGTCAATCAAATTCAACCTCTGTCTTCTTAATAATATTCTGCATAAAAAAATATTGAAATTTGGCCTCAGTAAATTATTCCCTGTGGTAATCAACTAATAACAAAAGCCAAGTTAACCTTTACATTAAATATTTCATCAGGCTGTTCTTTTAAGCTTCGAAGATGGTAGGACTTGACATAAAAAAACAAGTCGTTTTTGTTAAAATAGAGTTTACACATTTTGATCAAAGTTTTTCTCACATTCAGACAATAGCCCAAAATGCTAATGTTTGGCTAAAAATGTACACCCCCCCCCCCCACATTTTCATCAGACTGTTCTTTCAAGCTTCAAAGATAATGTTGTTGGTAGGACTTGAGAACAAAACAAAAAAGACAGTCGTGGTGCTAAAAAATAGATGTTGCAAATTTTAATCGAGAGTTTTTCTTCTTTCATACAATAGCCCAGAATGCAAATATTTGGCTACACTAAATGTACAAAAAAAACCTATAAGACAAATGACTGGCATGGTCTTTTTAAAGAATAGGTCGTTAGTAAGTAGGCCTATGACCTGACAGAAAAAGAAAATGTCATTTTGGTATTTTGGAATTCTCGTATGACAATTCTAGGCAGGAACACCTAGCCGGCGTGTACTTCATGGTGACGAATGACGGAGTGATCAAAGCGAACACAGAAAGTGAGTACATGTACCTTTTAAAAATCGCGGGAAAAATGATTTTATTTCTGCGAGGGCCTGGGGTATATCACTATGATAATGCATCAAAGCCTGCTAGGAGTTTTGTTTTTATAAGAAAGAGGGAGGGACAGTATATAATTATCTTCCTTTGAACAGGGGAACATTTCTTGTCACCAAAAACAAAACAAAAATTGGCATTTTTGAACACTTGTTTCCCTCAGTGAATTTCTTTTATGTCACTTTTTTTTGGCGAAAGATGCAAAAAAGCCTGCAAGCCAACAAGATAGATTTGGAGAATTAATGACAGGCAGGTGTAGTTGGAGATGAATACGTAACACCTATTGATATAAAGAAGCATTTTTTTCTGTATCTCGATTGTTTTATGTGAATCCTGCAAAACAAACAACTGACTTTCCATTTCAATAATATTCTCTCCCTCTTTGATCTATGTAGCCAAGTTGGAGGCAGCATGTGACTACGAAGACAGTTCGACCATGTATCCCTTTGCCTACAGAGTCCACACCCATAAACTTGGTACGGTTTAGTAAATTCTTTAAACCCGATCGAGCAAGAATTTGCAAACATTACAAAAAATAAGGGCTTGCGTGGTAACTCAATCAGTAGAGCGCAGTGAACGGTGTTCCAGACGTCGCCGATTCCAAATTGCGCTCCAAATAGTTACATGTAGTTGTGTGTTCAACTCAATACTCAGTATCTGTTGCAAAGCACTGATGTTAACGGTTCTCTTAAACTATTCGCATAGTTTGGAGTTTACAAATGTCCACCTCGGTTTTCTGTCTGCGTCAAAGAAATCTACTGTTCAGTTTGGCCATGGCAACATCCAAGAAATATTAAACACACATTTTCAGAGTCAAGTCCACATCACAAGTCAAGAACAAGTCTTTTTCAATTAATCTCAAGTCAAGTCACACGTTTTTTGATTTGTTTTTGTTTTTGTTTACACTAAGTGTTAAAGGCATTCCTTTGTCATTGTTTATCACCTGTTGTGATCTTTCTTCGATTGTAATGGACAGGACTGTTGAGCCTACAAGTGGAAAATTGCTCAAAACTGGCATAAGTTACCTTAAAATCAGCTACGGTACGAAACGAATATGAGATGTTATATCATGTCATAAATGGACCAGCCTTTAAATTCAACTTTTCAGACCAGTAATACTCAGCCAACAGCATCATATATTCAATAGGTCCCCTACTAAATAACTATACCAATCTTCATGGTTCACAAGAAGTCGTGACAAATTTTGTCGACGCCTATCAAGCTTGACAACTGTCCGTTCAGTCAGTAGCTACAATTAATTAAGTGTGTGTGTGTGGGGGGGGGGGGACTGAGAGGTCTCCCTGTGGGAATATCCCTCAGGTGTCTAGTTAACTATTTTCACACGTTTAAACATGGCCTTGGGACACAGTTCTCCCGACATTAATAGGCTCCCCTGGGGAATATGAACGAATGTTCGTACAGTAATATTGGATGGGGTTATCAGATGAGGGCGAGTCATTTCACTATTCGACCTTAACCATCTGAATGCTCCAATTAAAAAACCCTCACTTGGTTTGCAGTGTTTTCATGGGTTCAAGCCGCTATTTAGCATATTATTAGCTGGGTACATAAAATGTATGTCATCGCTACTGTATGATTAGCGGTTCCAGCCTATTTCAAACATGTAAAATTGCTTTTTCTGAATTTGAAAAACGATGAAAAACACACAGGGCAGCCTCTCTAAAACGCAGGAAACTCTGTAGCTCAAATTAAAGAGAACACTAAGAATTTCAGATTTCTCTAAAAAAAAAACACACCACAGTTTGTTAACGAACTGAATATTTAAGAATGTAAATGTAGTACTGTTAATTACACATTTAGACAGCAACCACACACAAGCATTCTACAGGCACATGGGTAATTTAATATCTGGACGCAGCAATGAGTGCTCAGCGTCTCCATAAAATTGGCCACTGCACTGAATGACACTCAAGAACAACACTTCTTGAAATATCAAAGTTCATCCTATTTGTGTGTGACATTTCGTCCTTTGTAGGTAAGGTGGTCTCGGGCTACCGCATCCGAGATGACAAGTGGGAGGAGGTTGGTAAGAGGAACCCACAGCTACCACAGGTATGTGGGAGGGGATGGGAAAATAGATCATGGGAAAATAGATCATGGGAAAATAGATCATAGGAAAATAGATCATGGGAAAATAGATCATAGGAACAAACAGCAGTGATTGACAACAGAATGCACCACCAAGAACTTACCATTTAATGTTATTGCTGTGCATTTTTCGAATAGTTTAGTATTTGATTATTACAACTTGGACCTGATCAAGTATTTGAACATTCGATTTAGAAATGGACTGATCAAGTCAAACATACGCGTGCCTTAACTGGCCAACGACCAAGATTTCACCTGCGCTTGTCAAAAATTGACAGACAGCTTAGTAAACACAGGTAGCTGTGGCTGATATTCGACTGATTTCAAAGAATAATTGTGAGCTAATTTTCCTCATGGAAGCTCACATATTTTTAAATGTTTGAATCCAAAAAACGCTATTTGGATATCCGATTGATGATCAAGTATTATAATTTTCGGGATATATTCGGCACAGCCCCATTTACTATTGGCTTTTGCCCATCACCGATGTACTTTTTATAAACACTGAATACTAAGTGTTGTCTGAGGGTTTCATCAGCTTACTCAGGAGGAACTCAAACCCGCAACCTCCTGCTTAATAGTGCAGTTGTCTTACCACCTGACCACTGAGCATACCATGGTCGGCTGGCTGGTTCAAATTTCTTATGGAAGCTGGTATAGCAACCCACCACTATTTTATGCAGAGATTTTTTTTTTTCTATTGGATAACAGTCAACAAATGAGCATCAAACAGTTTTCCTTTTTGAATAAGAACAGTGCAAGTTTTATGTATTTGGGGTGCGTGTAACTTAAGTTACATAAGTTGAGTTTTTGTATGAATAACGACAAGTATGGAAGGGAGGCAACCAAATGTATCCGTGTTTGTTTGGTACAACATTTGAACAATGAAGGAAACATGACAAACGGCAGGATAGTTTTGACAGATGCCAACTATAAATTTGAGGAAAACTCTGTAGATGATGCCTGTATTGTGAATTGCTCTTACAATGAATGGGATTAAATGCATTGCAAAAGGGTGTAGATAAGGTGGGGTGTCAGAGGCCACAGATGCAAAGAAATGCGATAGAAAGATGAGAAAATAGGCAAACATAAATCGCATCAAAATAATTGGTGGATGGCGAAACTGATCAAATGTTTGGCTTACTATATACACAGCAAAAGCACCTCTGGAATTCCATACTTACAATAAAATATGTGAAAAATGCATAATTTATACAAACAAGAACTTGTATATGGGTGTTAAAACTTTCCGTACATCAGCTGCACCATTCTTCAGATAGCTGTCTGGTGTTGGGTGGGCTGCTGGTCTGGTTTCCTTTTCAATATGTTCCTCAGTCCACATAACATTTGAAGGGAGCCTCACCGGTCCTGATGAAAGTGGCTAGATGTAATTACTAGCCACTCATCACATAGAAGGGAAGCATCTGTTTTTTGGAAGTCAAAGTCTGCTTAAACTCTGCGCGCCCAACTTCATGAAACAGTTGTTGGCAGGAGCTGGTTCTAGCACTTGCCTCGAACACCCTAATACAGAGAAGATTGGGAAAAACAACAACAAATCCAGTATTAATAGTGAAGCAGTAATGTAGTGTTTAGTTGAGGTATTGTGATGGGTCACAAGTCATCATAAGTCCATCGTAAACTCACAACCTACTGATGAAATGGACTAGGACAAAGGTATTTCTTTGCCATGGTTCATCTCCCTGTCACTTGTGACTGGAATTGTGACAAGACCTTTGACTGGGCCTGATTTTTACTTGTTTTATTTGTAGTTTGTGAGAGAACTCTTTGTGATTAATTGGCTTGTAAGAGCCAATTTTACAGTTATTTAGTAAAGGACTACCTCCCCATTATCTTTTTGGAGAAAGGGAGTAGACACATATATCTTTAGTAGTCATTTTTCATCCTGTTCACAAGTAACTGTGAAACATTTTACTGTAAGCCTACTGTGCAATTATCCTTCATTTGTGCAATTTCTTTAGTATTCTTGACAAATTTATGATGCTGGTTTAAAATAGGACTATAAAGGATGAGATACCTGTTCGGGTGGAAAATAAAAGGTATTTCCATCAAATTCATTCATACTCTTGTCATATTATGTGCCATGTTGTTTGTAAGGATTAGGACATGCACAAATAGGTACAGTGAAAATCCTTTACTGTGGCAATATTTTGTACAGGATGAAAAATGACCACTTTTACATAATTGGCTTTTTTTTTATTTAAAGGCAAACGTTGAAGGGTTGTATTTTTTTGGGGGGGGGTCCCCCTATACTGGAGGAACTCAAAGAAAAGTGTCTTATGGATCATTTTAAGGAACACAAGATGAAGGCCCATTGTATATGACCAAGTTGAAATATAAGTCTCTCCTGAATGAACAAATAATACAACAGTGGGCTTCTATATTTCTATGGAAATGTAACTATAACTGCCAGGTATTCATCAACTCTAAAAAGTCACAACAGCCATTCCATGTTGACATAAGCTCATTTTAATTGATTTTCCACAGATGTTCTACCCTGTATCTACTCCTGGGTTTACCATCGAGAAAGGAGACACACTGGTGAGTTCCAGTTTCCAATTTAATTCTAGGTTTTATGTCAGTGTCTCATAATGGTACAAGATTGCAAAAATATAGCAAAGTGCAAAAATACAGTATACCGACATACCGCATCATCCCACATCTTTAAGGATGACAACGTTATAGATTAAAAAAATTAGAAGCCATTTTCTGCGGCAAAGTGCACACGTTCTTAAAGACGAGGTGTCCCCTCATTTTTGTAACCCTGTGTCAAAGCTCAGAGTGCGTGCGTACTACCTTAGCAAACTCCTTGTAATTCATTTTGGTTATTTTGTCATTTGATGCAGGCGATGAGGTGTACATTTGAGGGTGACAAAGAGAAAGACACGTACATTGGGTAAGCGGACTTGTAGATGTTGGTATTTACGAATTACAAATATCATCCCGAAAATAGATTCTTTTTCTAAATGGCTATTTTTCTAACAATACAACTGTTATTCACTTTTGAATGAGACATTGCCCACGTTTAGTTATTGAATTATTTATTACTTTACAATTTTAAATGGTGCCCTACCCCACACAATGACTATTGATAATGTCCGGACTGACAGCCAGTCTGCTCACAGACCAGATCTGTTTGTGCCCCCCCCCCCCCCCGGGAAAAAATTCAGAGGTTTGCAGATGTCAAAACAAAAAGCAAAAAAGGAGGGCTTTGTTTTATTGGAATGAAACATACAAATTAAAATGTATTAATGAACAAAAAAATTGAATATGTCGGAGAGCACGGGGAATGCAACTTTAACCAAACTATAGCTTGCAAAGAGCTTTGGTAAGGAGAGGAAATTTTGTTTAACTCTTCATCCCTCAACACAGCCTCCTTAACATTCAGCCCCATAACCCCCTGCTTACTAGTGCAGACATCTTTACAACTGAACCACGATTAATTTGTCCAATTCCGATACAGCCGTGGGTATATCTTGCAGAATGCAATTTTGTGTCGGGAGATGCTTCAAGATGTTTATTTCTGTCTCATATCGCAGTCCCACCACCAAGGATGAGATGTGCAACTTCTACATCATGTTCTACACCAAGAATGAGCCGATACCCAAGTCTGACGTCTGTATCGACTACAGCTACCACTGGGCGGACCATCTCAAGAACATACCTGATGAGCAGGCAAGCAAGCTGCCTGATACCCCAAAGACTGAATAAGGAAATGATGACGTTTGCAGGGGGAGGAGTAGGTAGAGGGGAGGGGTTGAATTTGATACCGACAGAATTTTGTGACATCAAATTTGGAGTTGCATTTAGCCCATACCAAAGCACCACATGTACTGGTGGATGCAGACATCCATAGACCAGAAACTTCTGCAGTGATCTTGTTGCCAGACCCATTTTCATGAAACTTACTGTGTTTTGAGTATGGAGTGCTGAATGGTATTTATAAACACATAGCAGCTAATGAAAACTAGTGTGCCAATGGATGCAACTTTTCAACGGCTGATGTATTACACACACGTCTGTATATTACTTATCACTCACTACACTGCCATTCAATTTGGTGTAGCAACGGATTGTGACATCATGAAAATTCTGTTTGTAGTCATTGCGGGATGAGGGGATTGGGGAAAGAAAGAGAGGCAAGTATGAGAAGGGGTCTTTGTCACTTGAGTAAATAGGGCAGGCAGTGGGTAAATAGACCCTGAGATCTGGGGTGCGTTTTGGCGGTCATAACCAAGAATTGGTTCAGTTGTTTCTTGTCGGTGAATTTCTTTAGCAATATTAATTTGGTAAGAACTACGCATGATGATGTAGTACTCAAATTCCAAAACCAATTAACCAAAGAGAAACAACCGGACCAATTATTGGTTACGACCGCTAGAACGCACCCATGGGCTCCATGCACATATACCCCCTCAATGGTGAGAAAGGGAGAGTTTGGGGAGACCATAGGGTGAGACATCCGAACGTGAAGATGCTACATTTTTTTTTACAAATTCAGAGTAAAATTAGCCGTCCGCACGGGGTGTAGCCTCTCAAGCGCCCTCTCTTGTTTGCGCACAGAGCCCATAGTGTAAGGGAATAAAAGTAGGGGCTGGAAAAGTTTTTGGGAGCACGACAAGATGTTGTACCAGTTAAGAGCAGTACACAGTGTTTGCAGTTTAATTGTAAAAACATGTTGTGTAGTCATCATTTGAAGTTATTGAGAAGTTATGTGGGCTTCACAATACTATACAGTGCGGAAAAATGTGCAAGAAATACAAAAATTCACTGGTAGGTAAATCTTCAGTTAAAATGGCTGTGAGTAGTCATGTGCTGCAGCCATGTTGGTCAGGTTCCCTAAAGTCACTGCACCAAATGCTATAAAGATGCTCATTTTTGATTGAGCACCAGTCTGTTTCAGAAATGACCCTCAATCTAAAACTTCCAGTAACTTGGACGGCTGAGGGAGTGTCAGGTCAATGTCTGGTTTTAATTATGTATATTTTCTGTTGGGTGTATATAGATGTGATGCATGAGTTAAAGTTTTAAACATGAAGACTCGATGGATAGTTGGGATGCTTTGACTAACAGCAAGTTTAGTATCAAATGTAGCCCATGGGTTATTCTATCACATTGGGGTCTACTTTTTTCCTGTTCCTGTTACACTTGACATGTATGATTTTAGAATTTTGATCCACTCCTTAATGGATGCAAGCATATTGTTCATAGCAAACATCATACATGCTGACAGATTTTTTTTAAAGACAAAATTGAAGTTGGTGAATACTACCACTGAGCTACATGTAGCTGCAGCCAACTCGCATCCGTACAAACTCTGTTAATGTAGTAATGAACTTTAAGCCTTGGTCCCAACTGTGCAGCTACATGCGCAATAAATGGGACTGACACTCCACTTGGAACAAAATTCTGATACACATGTAGGACACAATTAACGAGTTAACAATTAACATATTAACAATTAAAGGGTTTGTATTAACAAGAATCAACTGTAATTATACTAGGCATCCTTGTTTATACTAGTCCACAGTAGACATGGCATCCTGTCATAACCCATAACCCCTGTAACCCCGAAAGAACAATTCCATGCAATTGGGGACTTTTGAGACGTTGGTGGCAGCAAACATACTGGTCCTTTTCAATTGTGTACGTCATGTTTAAGCTAAAGCGCACATGCTCAATATGACGCGAACAATGGAAAAAGGACCAGGGTGTTTGCTGCCACCAACGTCTCAAAAGTCTCCCACTGCAGTTCGCTCGTACCCCCCGCCCTGCAAACAGGACGCTGGTCAGGGCTGATGTCATTTGAGCTCTCATTGGATAGATTTACGTCACACAAATTAGCTTCCGGTGCCCATCATGCGTAGCACGCGCTAGCTGCATGCGAAGGTCAATCTGTACTTCCTTCACAAGATTCTGTGAAGCTCATCAGCCCTTACCAGCGCCCTGTTTGCAGGGCAGGGGGTACGAGCGAACCACTGTTTTAGTACAGATCACATCGATTGTCAAAAACAACTGAATTTCAATGTTGCAAACTTGCTTTCAGCCAAGGCTTCCCACATTTAAAGGGAAAAGAAAAAAGTGGAGATTTATTTATAAAGTTGAACTATAGGACAAGTTTCTTTGTGTGTGTGTAATAACTGTACATAATTATTATAGTTCGAACACAGCTATGATGATCTTGCCATAAGAAAATAAATATCATTCATGAAACTATGAAAATAATAATGAAAAGATAATCACAGAAAAGACACCTTGTTTTGCATGGAGCTCACTACAAGAACTGAAACACTACGACGCTGAAATATGTACATAGGTTGTGTCGGTGTGTGTTACTGTTGCTGCTTTGTCTGTAGAGTTAGGCCTTGCACTGTACTAGATTGCACTTAAATATCGGGACTGATTTTGAATGGAAATATGCTGATAAAATTTGCTGTTTTTTTTAGCCCAAAGGAAATATGGACAAATGTGGTGCATCTCTGTTTTATAAACCACAAGATGGAAAGCAGGGGGCATTTGGCATGCAAACACATATAACCAAATGAACAAATTTATCTTTGAAGCAAACTTGATTAGCGAAGCACATGAGCCAGATGCATGCTTTTTGAATGCTTTGAATGCAAAGAATTACTGGAGTTGTAAACTAAAGACCTGACCTGATGAACCATACTACCGGTACATGGGATCTTGTAACCAGGCTGTTGCTATGGATTGGCCAGTCAGCATGCAGGAAACAAAATCGCTTGAGTTAAACAAATGGAACCCATTTCAGAAAATGAAACACTACATAGCTAGTAGGCAGTAGATATGGAAAAATATATTACAATTTCGCGTTTCTAAGCTTTTTTCCCCCATCACACGGCAAAGTGACTATAACATCTTGTTCTTTTACTGATATTAGCTGAAGAATCTAAAGCAACTGCAGAATGTCAGTAGACAAGCATTTAATATCCAGCTCTGATCAACTTCAGTTTTTAATATTTCACAAAAATGTGTGTCAAATACTGCCCAGTATATCTCCTATAAAAAGCATTTGACAATCAGTTGTCAAATTTGAAATAAGGCAAAATTAAATGCTAAATTGCTAATGAATATTAATGGCATATATTTTTATTTACTGAGACAAAACATAAATAAAAATATAGTTTTGTAAAAATCAATTAGTTAAAAATAACTGCCTATACGTGATTAACGATTATAAATGCTTTGTGTGAATTTGTTTATAGTGATGGCAAAAAAATGACCGTGTGTGCTGTTACATATGTAGTTTTGCTTGTAATAAATGGTTGTTGTAGATACAATAAAAGCAGGTTGACTCAAAATGGTGCATCTCTGTATGTTTCTTTTTGTAGGGAGAAAGTTTACGTGCCACGGAGCACTGTTCTGTTGTTAAAAGGTGAACCTCACATGTTGCTTTAGTTTGACTGATTCTGTTATTTCAAGGCAGTTTTAGAAATATCAAATTTATTTTTGTATAAACTAACGCAAGTTCACTTCTCTCTCAGGCACTTTTCATAACTACCCCGCACGAATCATATACATGTATGCCCCTACTCTGTAATGCATCAGAAAAATACATGCCTGATGCACACACATGTGTATGCTCACACAGTCGTGTTTTACATAACACTCGAGGACAAGGCATTGTCTTTCCCTTTGTCACCATATCATATCACTCTCCCATTGCTAAGGGCACAAACTCATCATCAAGGACCATTTTCAACAAAAGATCAACGCTTGAGGACAACAAAGAACCTGTTGTTCTCCTTTTGTCATTTTATACCCGGATTGTATGTCTTTTAAATACACCCATACTTGCGAAAAACCTCCTTTGCAATTCAGCATTCTGTTCATACTTTCAGGGCAAAGCTGTCTGGTGAAGTCTCTTTGGTCGGGTGTGGTAAATCGGTAAAAATATGTTGATTCCACGCTCTCGGCCAATCACAAGACAGAATCTTCGGCTGAGGCATCATAAATTATGCATACACATGTAGATCATTTGCATTGCAGCCATCGTTGAGATGTGTGCTATTTTCCCACATGAATATGCAAGAGCACTACTCATGCATATTTATACATTTATGCATATGTCTACTCATTGAGTAGACCTCTTATGCATTCATTGTTAATGAAAAAACTACAGAAACATCTCAAAGGCGGTTTCTGAATGCAAAGGATCTACGTGCTTTAGATAGCAAGGCCACAGAAGGAAAAAAAGGAGAAAATTACCATGCAGGATCTGGACGGTTCATTCCACCGTGCTCTGTATAGTCGCTCGGATCTTCTCCGCATCTGATATCAACTGCACATTCGTGGGGTCCAACTTAAGAGCTGCTTCGTAATCTTGCAAGCCTATGTGAATTCAGGGATAAGAGGAAATACGGCTGTGCTTAACCCTGTCTGTCTCCTGTGTCTCTGTCTCACATAATTGTTTGACAGATTTCAAGAACAATGAAAGTTTAGGCATACTGAACTGAATGGCGAGGACCATTAGTTGACTCGTGGCCGATTCTTGATGTAACTTACACCTGCGCACTAATAGCAATCTGCAAACATCTCTTGTCAAACGATGGTCAAAACATCTTCACAAAACTTCTGGGTCCTGGTTCCCTGTTGTGTATTATGATGCATTCGGCTATTGTTAACCAGCGATGCAGCTATTGGTGAACCTGCGTTCGAGTGAAGTTATTCCAACTATGATTAACCTTAGTCCTCCCCTAACTTGCTGGTATTGCATCCTTACCTTCAACGTAGAGTTCCAATTCACAGAAGGCAGTGCCTCTTTTGACGTGAGCTCGTAGTCTGGATTTAGCATTAGCGTCTACTGGTGGGGTCAGAAGCTCCAATGCCTGCAAAGAAAATCCACCCAAATCATCAGAATTAGGGAATATTGTGCCACAGGGAATATGGCTGAAGACTGCTTGAAATTCAGATAGTGTGAAAGTTAGGAAGCCTTTTTTTCAGAGGGATGTATCATATTAAATTCTGCCAAGTTAATCAAACATTTGCAACGACCAATTAGATCACGACTTTTAGTCAGGTGACCACAGCTTATTAAAACTCAGTTACACAAGCATTGTGAAAAACACAAATGAAATGTGGGCGGGGTTTATGACCAAATCTGGAACAGCCAATTTGACAGACAGGTCAAGAAAATCATTAATTCATTTACCACTCATTTTTAACATTGATAGAAAATCTGAATTGATTTGCATCATATAATGTACCTTTGAACAGTCTTCGATGCACTTGATGAAATTCCTTAACTTTAGATGGCAAGTGGCACGATTGGAATAAACGCTACAAAAGCTGTCAAGGAAATTCCTCACTCCTTTTTTTTAAACACTAGTTACCTCTCACACTGCAAAACGCAGATGACTTTTCAATCCTCTCATACAACACTTCAAACAAAATTGCAGAGAAATGGGCTTAATACTTCTTCTTCTTTTTTGCAAAGGATACGCATGCAGTTTGCTGTCCAATCTAACAGCCAAGTTGTAGGCGTTGACAGCAGCGAGGTAGTTTCCAGACTTAAAAAAGCCACTGTGGACAAAAGCAAACAGACAGAATAGTAACCAAATGTCTTTCAAGATAATAACCAACACAGAGCGCAGTTGTCAAAAGTTCAATAGCTTTGACTTGAAGATGTCAATGGCGTAGTATTTTCTCCTAAAATTCCAATTTGCCAGATGGCTGTGAAATGGAGACGAAGATTGGTTTGGGAATTTTAAAGGTTTTCTAAGTGTCAAAATATAGACATTTACAGGTTTTCTTCAGTACGAGGTAGCAGAAACACAGCGAATAACTTACAACATATTCTCCACACCAGATAGAGTTACCAATCTCATGCAAACTGCCAAACACTTGTAAAAAAATCTTAAAGAGGTAGGACTATACAAACAATGTTGTGATTCTAGAATTATGATTACTAAACTGTGGGCCAAATTGATTCTTAAACTTTAGCTTCCCCTCCCACCCAACGATGCCACTGAATGGTGTCGATAAGAAGATGAGCAAAAAACTTTAATTTTTTTAGGCTGCATTGAAAACTTACTCTCCTTTGTCCTTGAGCCAGACTGGGTTTTTCTCTTCTTCAGTCAAGTCTGGGTCGTCAATGTCCACGACCCTCCGTGCCTCTGCTTGCTTCTTCAACCACTGAGGAAATAAAACGGAGGGTACCCATCCGCACAAGGTCCGATTATCAGTGACAAGACAATAGCCTTAAAATATTTTTTCATAACACTTCACCCACATATTCTGTATCTTAAATAATAATAATAATAATAATAATTTGGGAGGCTAATCATCCTTACACGCAGCTGGTATGCTGAATTGCGAAGGACGCGGCTACAACGTGGTCAGGCCGCTGGCACGTAAAGGCGCCTATGGCTGCCGGCCACATCGACCCATATATGACCACGGAGCACAGCCTGAGATCGAAAGTGTTTGATTTTTCCGGAGGGAGGAAAACTGGAGGGCCCGGAGAAAAACCCACGTGGCACAGGAGAGAACCAACGCACAACTCTACTCACATGCGATCCACGGCCAGGATTCGAACCGTGGTCACCTTGGTGAGAGACGAGCGCTTTACACACAAGCCACCCATGCCACCCTTGAGTACATAGGCCGAGAGTGAGTACATAGCAATCACTACTTTTACCATATTGCCGTTTACAGCCAAAAAGGCAACACAACTGTTTCCGTGGTCGGAAAAAAGTACTATATGCATATAAACCAACATATGGGTATTTGAAGGTGTAGTTGGGAAAAGTGCACATTAATAATATTGAAACAATATAGAAGTACATTTAATTGGTTTTTTTTACTGTTAAATTAATCAGTTATCTCTCAAAATCAAGCAGAATCTGTGGCTGAGGCATAATCAAACAAATATTGACTGCTGTAACTTGTGGTGTAGTAAAAAGTAACCTCCCTCGGTGATCCATTCTATTTCCCTCGGCTATGCCTCAGGAAAAAGGAATGCTCCATGGATCACATTGGAAGGCTACTTTTACCATACCACTTGAAGCAGTCAATATTAGTTTACTCTCCCCCCACCAAATTGAGGACAAAATACTACCATTATTAAGCAGGAAGTCTATAGCCTTTGTAAACTAATAGCAGTCGACTTCAGCTTTCCTGAATCTGTCAGAATCCTTCAAAATCTCACAGTGGATCTTGACGGGCATGGCAGGGTTAGCATGAAAAATGAACCTAGTCAGTATTTCGTCATGGTACATATCCCTAATAATCAAGGGTATTTTGCCCTACACAATGTAACCAGCTCCGAATGGTTTGGAATGACAGTTCACGCACTCAGAGATGCCAACTTTACAGACTACAAAATAGTAATGATTCTTCCTGCAAAGAGTAATGCTAATGTAAATACATAGGACAACAGTCAAGTTTAAGAGTAACCACAGTACTTTTCAGAGTAACTACAATGTTGGCGTATAGGACAGCTGGAAGTTTCAAGAGAAGTAACATGCCTCAAAATCCTAATAAGTACTCCAAAAGAGTAATGGTTGGCATATCTGCGCACTATTGTTTTAACCTGATAGAACAAGGTTCCCATAGATTTGTACACCTGCTGGATCTAATTGTGTCTGGCCGATCGCAAGTTGGGGTTAAATGATGAGACAATAAGCACTGCCAACTGCCGAGATTAAAGAAAAGGGAAAACAATCTTCAACCAAAGGACACTCTAGTGTATACCTCTTCCTCTGCTTGCACTTTGGACTCCCTGAGGGGGGTGGGGAATATTCTGGGGGTGAAGGTGACCTGAATGTTTCCCGATGACCTCGGTGGGGGCTGGCCTTTGACCTCAGTCTGTGTCTTGTCCGTAGATCCTGGAAACCAGTACACAAACACTTCAAGGGTCATTGTGCGATTCCAAAACCTTTTTCCAGTCATTATTTGATTATAACGTTCAGGACTTTTTCACCTTGTGTCTTGCAAGACTTGCAATTTTTGTGTGTGAAAACTTGATTTAGCTTGAAACATGAACGATATGGTTTAGGGTTAGGGTTAGTTTTCAGACTGACCTGGGTGTTTTCTGACGGCTGGCAATGGTTCTGCATCCGTAGCTTCATCATCGAAGATATCAACGTCTGAAACACAAAGTTTGTTTAGTTTTTTACAGTCACGCAGAACAAGACGCTTAGTGTATAGAAAATTAAGTCTCAAATAACCAACAATGGGACACTGAACTAGGTTAACATTCAATCAGTAAATTTTGAACTCATTTCATATTGAACTGGCACTACATTTTGATTGAATTTGGGTTACATTGATCAGTTTTCTCTCAAAATCAAACAGATTCTGTGAGTGAGATGCTATTAAACTCATAACTATTAAACTGCTTTAACTCATGGTGTAGCTAAACTAGCCTCCCTTGGTGATCCATGAAACATTCCATATCCCTCAGCTACGCCTTGAGAAAACCTCATTGACCACCTCAGGAGGCTAGTTTCACCACACCACTAGAATAAAATATAAGGAGCTTTTGCTGTTTACTCTGTTTGTTCGTCTCCTCTCGTTCTTTCTCTGCCGCAAGTTGTTGGGTTTTCCATTTCTCCAAGTCCTCCGTGGCTTTCTGCCTCTCAGCTTCTTTCACTTCTTCTATCCTTTGTCTCTCTTCATTTTCCAACTGCAGACGAAATATGGAATAATATGATCAAACCCCAATAGCTTTGCTAAGCAAAAAAACTGCCTGCTTAACAGATTTTCCATCTATTTCAAGGAGACTATAAGCAGCAAGCTCTGCATTTGTCCTGGGAAAATTTTCATTAACAACTGCTTGACCCATCAATACAGATAACTTCTCTGCATGAAGATTGTGGGGAATCTGTTCAGAATCCTTCACCTTATATCTCATACAATGTATGCAACTTGCCTGGAACTCATCCAGGATATGAATTGAGACAGTCCCTAAGGGCAAAATGCAATCTCAGAGTGTGCATCACATAGATTTTAAAATTTTAAAAATGTTGTGTTGTACAAGTTAATTGACAGTTGTGCAAAGGTGCAAGTTAATTTTGCTTAAAATAATTATGGTTCCTGAAATCAGTTGCTTATCTCACAGAGAACACAGAGAACAGAAATCGGTGATGTTTAATCTTGTCATACATACTCTCATCTGTTCCTTGAGAGCCATTCTGTCTCGTTCCTGTTTCTCCACCTGCTGCCGTTGCTTCTCCTGTTGTGCTTTTTTGTGGGTTGCATCGATGGCAGCTTGCCGCTTGCTCTTCATTAAGTCTTTGTCCTCTGAAAAAACAAAACAAGTAAAACACTTCCGTTTGATCGTTCTCTTGGTTTTGTTTTTCGCTGTGATAAAAACAGTAGGAAAATCTTAGGTTTGGAGACAGGTGTCGAGTCTATCACAAGCTCATCACAAGTTCTGTCACAATTAACAGGGTATGGATGAAGGAATGTTTTTGTCAACGTTCATTTGATTATCTTTTGACTGGACTTGGGACTGGGTTTCTCATGACTGGACTACAACATTGGAGAGAGGTAAACATCGACTCTGACTAGGGTATAATGATCTGTCCTCACTGACCATGTATTACAAAGGAAATTTTTTGAGGACACAGGCAATGTTTGATAAAAATTGAAAGTCTTTCTTTAAGTATATAGTTAGCGTCCAGATCTTTTCCGTATCTTTTCTTGTAAAAGAGAAGGATTTATGAGCACATGAAAATATTACAGTATATTGATACACTATTCAACACCTGAATTCAGTGAAATGAGACGGCTCCATAGTCCAGGCTCTTTCTTCTGTAGATTGAATGTGATGGTACCGTCACCAACTTGTGCCGTTCCTTTACTGTCATCTACCGGCTGGAACAGCACAACTTCAAAGAGGTATGGCGGATAATTAACCTGGCAATAGAAATGAAAATAAACAAACAGTTTTTTTTTGGGGGGGGGGATGATTCGTTAATTATCACTTATTTGCATGTTTAAAGAGCAAATCAATAAAATTACGTACATCTTAAGGCTTGATGAAAAAATATGTTTAATATAATATAAAACATTAAACTTTAAAGAATTGGTTGCTGAAATGGCGATTGTGATGTTGTAGGCCTACCCCTCTCTTGTTCAATCATAGACTGTTTTATGGTGCAGTTCAAAATCACTTCTCCGACCTTAAAAATCTTCTTCTTTTTTTTAAAGAATGTTGCAACCTGACATTACTTCAGTGGTTGTGTACAAAGTCAATGGAGAGTCAAGACATTTTTCAAAGGGTTTCCTTACAAATTAGATATGTTCTCTGTCCCAGATTCATGTCTTATTATCATTTTTGCATTTACTGACCTTCATTGAGATTGATATATGAAGAAAAAAATCAGCGTCAGGTTGCAATGAATGCTAGCTGTAGCCTGTAGGCCTATTTTCCCCTTTTTTGTTCCACATACATGACATAGGCTAGGTATGTGACAAAAAATTTAAACTTCACCCAATTTAACTGTAATGGATACCATTGTAAAGAGCTTAAAGAGAACTTTAAAATGATGTATAGATCACTGTTCTAGGTGAAAATTTATAAGAGTTACATTTATTTTAAACTCGGGAATTGGTGGTGAAATTTCGGCCTCCAAAAACAAAGAAAAACATAAGAAAATTTGTGACCGTTATTTGGGTTACGTCATGACTCTATTTGTTTTGGTGCACTGTAACTTTCTTATTACAAGTCAGAATCTCATCAAAATTTCACAAAAGGCATTACAATGACTATATATTATGATTATATTATGATAATTGATATTGATTAACAATCAGTAAACACAAATTATTAATTTATCAATTAGTGTGATGACCATTGGGGCAATTCCACCAAAAGTGGACACGGCTGAAAAATTGCAATTTTTATATATCTCTAGAAGTACAAATATCACAACAACAAATGTGGTATCAAATTAAAGAGGTCAACAAGATCTTTCATTTGAGTGGTATGCCAGTGGGATAGAATGTAGTTTAGTGTTTTGGGTTAAAAAAAGCACCATTTTTTTTCAAGCTAAAATACATGAAATCAGGGATTTTTGGAAGTCATTTTTGCACCTTGTTTTGTTATAAATTCAGAGAGAAGATACAAATTTCTTGTTTGATTTTGACACAAATTCAAGTCTCTTCTGTACTTTTCTTTTCCTTGGTGTGATGAGCACTGTTCGAGGAGATTTTCTTGCAGGTGGTGATTGTTTTGGACTGGGAGGCTCTTTGGGGTTAGAGGGCCCAGGTTCTCCATCAGGCTGAATTTCTGAAGTTGATGGCAAGGTTTTTCCAGATTGAATGCCAGAAGTTGATGGCCCAGGTTCTCCAAATTGAACGCCAGTCGATGGCACAGGCTCAGAGGAGGAGAGTTGAACTACTGGTGTATGCTGCTGATGGAATTTGTACTGCTTCCGACATACCTCATCAAATTTCTTCACGTCAGCTTCACGTGACAAATGTTTATATTTCTGGAGTGTTGTTCGAACAAGGCTCTGCAGTTGGTTAGTTGAAAATGTAAATGAGGCACCAATCTTTTCTCTAATCACCTGAACAGTACTGAAGAAAGACCGTTCATTTGTAATGAACGAGAAGAGGATGTGTCCAACTTGCAAATTGCGATCTGGAAGTGAACTGAAGTTTTCAATCAGATACTGACAAGCTTTGCCTGGCTTTGCTTGAAAAAAATCCCTCTTCTTCTTTTTAGGTGGCATTTTTGATAATTACCTGAAAATAAAGAAAGTAGTGATATCATAATTACTATGGAAGGTGCTTGTTTTATCGAAGCCTGTGGCGGCTGAGAAGATATATAAATTTTCTTTCAAACATTAAAAAAAATAAAATTTTCTTTGCTTAATAAAATAAAGGGTGTGTTTCATTTTTTTAAAATAAAATATGAACAAAAAACTTAGTACTTTCATTAACTTAACAGCATAATCATCCAAACTGCAATTAGGCCACACCCTCGAATTCTACCAGGGAGAAAAAAAAAATCACTAACAAATTACATGACTGGAGCGAATTGGCAGATCAAAACTTGTCCAATATAAAATATGAATCCATTAATAAAAAAAAAATTCAATAAAATATGTAATTAAGTAAACAAAATATAATAAAGGATGGGCCTACAAAAAAACGACCCTGAAATAAAAACAAACTAAAAAAAAAAAAAAACTAGCTCGCCCCATGTTAGCCATGTGTAAAAAGCATAACTGGGGCGAACTAAATCTGAATTAAATCCAAAATCATCCGCTTGATGCAAATGTTTTTTCGATCAAATACCAGAGAATTATGAAGAATATATATTAAAATTCATTTTAAGGGTGTTTTTTTCAATTATCAAAGGCCCTTAGCATGTTTTCCAGAAGGATGATCTACATCTTGATTTCAATGGAATCTCACGGTAACCGCCATGTTTGTGTGCACCGTCGCGATGACCGATCGTATGAAACAATTTTTGCGGATTAAAAAAAAGGGTGTGGGAATCGTACAATTACCTTTATATTTTCAGGTTTTGTAAATGAATACATAAATTTAAGAATGTAAATGTTTTTAAACGAAATCTAACTTACATCACGTAGAATTACGCTGACTTTCTCGGATGAATTTTTAAAATGCACGTAATCCAACTTTAACGTATCGCATGACAAAAATCTAGGTACGAGGTTGTAGCATATGATTTCCTCTTTCTCACAGAACAATCCATTTTGCAGGGGATGCCCCTGGTTAACTGGTATCCGGCCGCAAACATAACAGCGCAAAAGCATAGGGGTCATTCCATGTCAGACCAACGCACTTTTTTACCTCATGTCTTCCGATTTTGATAAAAATTGCTGTGCTTGTAGGTCCTAATGAGCAATGAATACACACCAATTTTTAGCCCGATCCGACTTACCATGTGGTCAGGGCAGAAGCCACAAAAAAATGGCATTTTTAGAGTAAAATACCACCCTTTTGGTATAAATATGTCAAAACTATGGCAATTTTCTTCGAATATATGTGAATTTGGTATTAAAATAATGAGGATTGCATGCTCAAATCACTTCTTTTGTCAAAATTAAATTTTGTGAAAAGTAGGTCACGTGACCTTTAATATGCTATCGTGACCTTTGACCCAATTTTTGTAATAATGTATCATTCCGAAAATCAACGAAATAAAAATAACTTGCTAGAGCATGTCTTCCTCTATCAGAATCTACTAAAAATCAGTTGGGGTCTTCAAAATTTACAACTTTATGACTATTTTTGTACAGTTGGTAGTTTACAAATGAGTCAATTTATAGACTTTACATAAGAAATACACCAACACAACTTACTAATCTGTTTCTTAAGTTACTAAAATTAATCTAGATTTTTATGTATAAAGTACAAAGCCAGGAAAAACAAAATTCTACCTTCTGATTCCAAAGAAACTGTCTAATCAGAATATCTGAAGTGTGCTAACCACTAACAGTAACCAGGCCTTCACCCAGTACAGCGGACTCACGTCCAGGTGAAATTCATATCAAAGGAACAAAATGCCAAGTCTGTGAGAGTCATTAAAGTTCAAGAAGCACAGTGATGAATGAGTAAAGGTAACTTTGATTGTAATATTAAGTATTATCTTCAAGCAAACTTGAATCCTAGACCCTGATTAGTCCATCTATAGCAACAACTGTGTGATTTTATATAATATTGCACAGCTATATTGCACCCCAGATATTAAAAATGTACGTGTACATATGTTGTGTTATTTCCTGCAGAACGGACCAATACACTACATGTATGCACGTACATCTTCACCGCGTGTACGCATTTGATATCAAGTTTGCTTGAAGATAAATTGGTTATAAATCCCACTTGCGTTCGTGGAACACGGAATTATGTAGTGCATCGAGTGGCATATGGGTCACAGCAGCATTGCATTATTTCATATTCCAAGCGCGCTCGTGGGATAACTAATTATCAGTGGCACCCAGGAGGGGGGGGGGGGGGGGGGGCTTGAACCCACCCCCAACATTGTCAATTTGTTTGTTTGATTTTAGGCTAGTTTTTGTTGGTCCAATCTTTTACAGAAATTCGAACAAAAAACGATTTATGACCCCCCCCCCCCCCACCAAAAGCCAAATCCTGGGTGCGCCACTGCTGATAATTTACACTATGAGTCTGGTTAGACCTCATCAGCCCTCAGAATGAGAAATTCACAAACCAAGATATATTTTAGTAACTTTAGAAACGGAATAGTAAGTTGTGTTGGTGTATTTCTTATGTAAAGTCTAAAATTGACTCATTTGTAAACTACCAACTGTACAAAAATAGTCATAAAGTTGTAAATTTTGAAGACCCCAACTGATTTTTAGTAGATTCTGATAGAGGAAGACATGCTCTAGCAAGTTATTTTTATTTCGTTGATTTTCGGAATGATACATTATTACAAAATGTGGGTCAAATGTCACGATAGCATATTAAAGGTCACGTGACCTACTTTTCACAAAATTTAATTTTGACAAAAGAAGTGATTTGAGCATGCAATCCTCATTATTTTAATACCAAATTCACATATATTCGATGAAAATTGCCATACTTTTGACATATTTATACCAAAAGGGTGGTATTTTACTCTAAAAATGCCATTTTTTTGTGGCTTCTGCCCTGACCACATGGTAGGTCGGATCGGGCTAAAAATTGGTGTGTATTCATTGCTCATTAGGACCTACAAGCACAGCCATTTTTATTAAAATCGGAAGACATGAGGTAAAAAAGTGCGTTGGTCTGACATGGAATGACCCATAGCCGCAAAATGCGGTCACCATTGACAGGGCCGAAAACGCAGCGCGCACTGACGTGTTTTGTCACATACCTACATAGGCCTATTTGCCTTCAGTATGTTCAGGCTATAGGCCTAGTTTCTGTTTATTTTTTTAACATTAATTCAAAACACCGTGTAGTTTTTAACATTAAGGCTACTTAGTACTTTGTAAAATTAAAAAAAATAAGTATCCCGTATCGTTGTCACGCCCCAACTATCGCATCGGTCCCAACTATAGTTGGGACTGTCCCAACTATAGTGCGACAGTTGGGTCGGCCCAACTATAGTTAGGACTGGAGTTGCGCCGGATGCTTCATGCTTGATAGATCTGGCACCGTGTATTCGTCGTGCATGCGCTATGCATGCCGCAAGGCTGACCGGTCACGTGGTACTGCCTAGTTGGATGAGTTGTCCAGCTGCTGGGTTGATTGTCCAGCAACATTTTGCAAAATTCAAAGATTGCCATGGCCGGCCAACTATAGATGGGCCCCACCCATAGCTAATGTCAAAGGTCCCAAGTAAAGTCGGACAGTATGTAACAGAGCTGTAGGGAATGTTTTATAGTCGTCGTACATCAATGTAAACTATAGTTGGGACCGCCAAATAAAAATATTGCGGTGGCCCAACTACAGATGGTCCCCACCCATAGATAATTTCATTGGTCCCAAGTAAAGTCAGATGTGTATTAGAGTTGTAGGGAATGTTTTATAATCGTACAACAATGTACACTATAGTTGGGACCGCAAAATAAAAAGATTGGAGTGGCCCAACTATAGATTCGCCCCATCAATAGCTAATTTCAGTGGTCCCCAGTAAAGTCAGACGTGTATCAGAGCTGTAGGGAACGTTTTACAGTTGTACATCAATGTAAACTATAGTTGGGACACCGCAAAATAAAAAGATCGGAGTGGCCCAACTATAGATGGGCCAGCCCAACAGTGGAACTTACAGTTGGGACCGTCCTAACTATAGTTGGGACAGGCCCAACTATAGTTGGGCCAGCCCAACTGTGGAACTACAGTTGGGACAGGCCCAACTATAGTTGGGACAGGCCCAACTATAGTTGGGACCGATGCGATAGTTGGGGCGTGACATCGTTACGTGTTTTCGATCGACACGTATTTTCGATCCCCAAATTTGATTCCCGTTTACCGCGAGACCGTGCGTGATCCTTCGAGACCAGTGTCCCCGAAGTGACGACTTTACTCACCGCTATCTCCGACTTTCAAGATGTTGAGAATAAAGTTTCCAGTCGTAAGTTATACCCAAATGTTTAAAAGTTATATAATTTTGGGTATAGATCACTAATGCACTATTTCACTAATTTTCAAATGAGCCAAAGAAACATAATCCGTGACCAAATATTCCAAACGTAACTTTCGTCTGCTTGAGCAACTTTCATTCTTCGCAAGTCAGACGACAGGTCACGTGATCTTGTTGCTATTTGGGTTTGTATGGCATGCCAATGTGACAAAAATGTTATGGTCTTTCACAAATCGAAGTGACTTTGTTTTGTTTTTCGGTGTTTAACTTTAAACTAAGATAAGCTGATTAACTTGAGCTGTTCTTTTTTTGGCCACTCATATGATGCCAGATATAATAAAAAATACTATGATCTGAATTTATGCAAAATTCAACTTTTGTATCAGGTCAAAACAGTATTAATGTGTTTTATTCTTTGATTTTGCAACATCAGAACATAAAATAAATAGGATTAATTTTATTAATTTTATCATTGGATTGAATTTTTTTTTTTTTTTTTACTGCAGACTGTGATAAGCAAAGGGAAGGCCAGTTATCGTCAATATTCCCATGAATCTTTCAATCATGCATATGAAGCTGTGGTTGGTCAGGGAATGCCATATAAGAAAGCGTCCAGAATTTTCTCCATCCCATATTCCACCCTGCATGACAGAGTTAATGGAAAAACTAAATTGGAGTCAACTAGATCTGGTCCTGACCCCCTGCTTACTCAGGAAGAGGAACAAACACTAGTCACGCACATTGAATTGATGTCTTCCTATGGCTATGGCTACACTCGCACTGAAGTGACAGTGCTTGCTACTGATTTGGCTATTCACCTTGGAAAGAGGAAGAAAGTAGATAAGCCACTCTCACTACGGTGGTTTTACAACTTCATGACACGCTGGCCAGAGCTCAAGGTGCAGAAACCGAGATCGCTTGAGATAATGAGGGCTAAAGCTACATCCCATGAAACGGTCAACAGATATTTTGATGAAATGGAGAAGATCTTGGAGAAATATAACCTGAAGGATCGACCAGAGGCCATCTATAATGTTGATGAGAAGGGCATTGTTGAGAATCATACACCTCCATCTATTGTATCCTCACGCTATGAGGTACCTCCAGCAGTTACCATGGGCAAATCATCAACTACAACTGTCATTGGGTGTGGTAATGCTCTTGGAATGGCATTGCCTCCATTTTTCATCTTCAAGGGAAAACGGATGCGCAATGAATTCTTGTCAGGTTGTACAGCTGGTACAGGAGGTACAATCAGTGATTCAGGTTGGTCTAACTCTGACATTTTTGAGAGATACCTCAAGGAGCACTTCATGAAATACTCCCTTCCTGCTACATCAGATGACCCTGTCTTGCTGCTTTATGATGGGCATAGGTCTCATGTATCACTGCCTCTCATTCAATGGGCACGGGAGAACAATATCATTTTATTTGTACTTCCAGCGCACACTTCACATGTTCTTCAGCCGATGGACATTGGATGTTTTGGACCATTTGAGAAAATCCTCAATGGTATGCGGCACACACATATGCGGCACCATGCAACATCTGGCATTGACAAGTATTCCCTGTGTGAGATAGCCTGCAAGGCATATGCAAGTGCACTTACGCCAAACAACTTGCAAGCATCATTCCGAAAGTCCGGCATCTATCCAGTTGACCGATGTGCTGTCAACCCGTCAAGTTTTAAGCCAGCTACAGTTTTCACTTCATCAGAAGTCAACCATCAAGAGAACATTTCAGCTACTCCTTCCTCGTCTGTCACAGCAGCTGACGAATCTATTGATGACACAACAGACAGATGTACTGACTTTTTCAGGACAGCTCAAGCTGTGCTGACAGAGAACCCAAAGCAAACAAAGAAGCGAAAAGTCCTTAGTGCCATAGTGGGAGGTAAAGCCATCACTGAAGATGCAGTTGTACATGACATCAAGAAACATCAGGAGCAACAGAAAAAGAAACCAAAGAAGCCAAAGAAATCTGTCAGCAATAATTCAGCCAAGCCAAGTACTTCAGGTGTCGGTCATCAGAAGAGAAAATCACATAGTCAACTGCCTGCTGATACAAATGACGAAGACTGTGATGAATCTGAAACAACTGACCCTAAGGACCTCTGTTGCAAGTGCAAAAGGTTCCAACCTGCAGAACTGAGAAACATTGACACCCTTGTCTTTGTTTCATGGGCACAGTGTACATATCCGGATTGCTGTCACTGGGTACACCTAAGATATTGCACTCCTGTCCGTGTTGTTCGCACGCATTCAAAATTCTGGTGCCCATGCCACAATCAATCAGAGGAATAAAAAAAAACAAGCAAATATTAAACAGGAAAGGGGAATCGCAGCAAGTGATTTCATTTTGAAATTTGGGATACCAAATATAGTGTTCCATTTTGAAATTCCAAATATTCTAAAGAAACTCAATTTTAAAGAATTCCAACTTTCATTGCAAAATTCTGTGATGGCTTTTTCAGAGTGGATCACAGATTGTTAAAAATGCATTGCATTATGCTATTTGCTCACTGCCGGTATTATAAAACTAGACCAAGTGATATTTTAGAGTAAAATTGTCATTCAGCTTTCATTCAAGCAAAGGAACAGATTCCTTACAAGAAACAAATTCCACTTTTCCAGCTGTTGCTCCCCTTTACCCTCCAAAAAAAAAAAAAATTCAAGATGGAAAAAAAAAATCTCCTTTAATAAAATGCACACAGCTAAAACTAAAGTGATCCATACCAAATTCTCCTTTTGTTGATTCAGCCACTTATTCATATTTTTTTTTAAATATATAATTCACAATTTCCCAGTTCAAAAACTTTTCACATCCTCTATTTTATAAACTATACATCATCTGTACAGGAGAATTGACAGTCGGGACAAAACTTTTATCATTTTTGAGTGATTTCGCGCGCCATAGCATCCCCGATGTTGATGAACATGGCCACACAGCCGCTGTACCGAAAACTGGTGACGCTCCGTCCGAATGGCGGACATGCTATCGCTGTAAATCGCGGACGATATTTCGGAAAAAAGGGCTTCAACTTCGATGATTTCAACAGCTTATAAATTGGAAGTATCCAGTTGAATGGTTAGTGAGTCGATTTTTTGTAATTCCGTTTAGTTTTCGTTTTCGAGAAGTCTTCCCGTTATCCGATCGAAAACCGGTGACGCCAGGATATGCCTATACATAATATCACAACTAGTCAAGGTAAATGCACGCACAACAACCATGACAACTTACTTTCAAGTATTCATCGGTCGAAAAAATATCAACTTTGCTTGCTTTGACACCTTTTAATGGGACAACCACGTGAACAGACGTTTCCGTTTCATCCCACGTGTAATCTTTTACTGTGATCGGCATTCCGATTCCGTAAAATACACAGAAATAATAGGCCTTTATTGCATCAGAACTTGTGTTTACAAATTGAAGATGGTGCCGGTGTGACAACCTTTGACCTCATTCATTAGCAGCCAATGACGAACTTGGTTAGGGAAAAGCGAGAGAATGTAAGCCAATCAAATAAGCTGTTACATTGCTGATAAAATGTAAACTATAGAGGGCGCTACTTCACATGACCATGTGAAATGCACTGCACTGTCTGTGGAAGTTCATTCATGTGTGACATTATACGACAGCTCAAGGTTTTCCCTGAGTTTTGTCACGTGTTTACACTTTTACAAGCAAGAATTAATCTATAAAGTGGGTAAAATAGTGAAGACAAGTATTACAATGTTGTCAGCGATGAGAAGTGTTCGAGTTGCTCAGGTAAGTCGTCTTGGTTTTTATTTCATTTTCAAATTCCGAGTTCAAAGTTGGATACGCATTTTCCTAGCCCGACTGCGTCTGGCCGTACAGTACTATCGCAAGCTCTGTAGTACGGCCAGACGCTGAATGCTTCCAAAAAGACTGAATTTTTTTGGCCGCCGATGTAGCGATTTTGCTACATCTTTCGATCGCAATTATCTTTTCATCCAGGACACAAATTTCCAAAGTTAAGGTTTGTAGTCGTAGAGCAACTCATACTTTTTCGAAAAAACGTTGTTTGGTCTCAATATTTTCATCTATCTGGCCACAAGACGAATTTCAGTCATCAGATTCCACAAATATCGTCCCCCATGCGATCCCCCATGCGATTTCAAAATGGCGGCCGCGCTGTAATGTATGCAATATGCAGGCGCGCCCGCGCAAACTCATGAATATGCATAAACAGTCTGTGACGTACGACCTCGTGTTTTTGGACGTACGGCCCCGCCGCACGCACGTCCAAAAACACGAGGTCGTACGTCACAGATTGTTTATGCATATTCATGAGTTTGCACGGGCGCGCCTGCATATTGCATACATTACAGCGCGGCCGCCATTTTGAAATCGCATGGGGGATCGCATGGGGGACGATATTTGTGGAATCTGATGACTGAAATTCGTCTTGTGGCCAGATGGATGAAAATATTGAGACCAAACAACGTTTTTTCGAAAAGGTATGAGTTGCTCTACGACTACGAACCTTAACTTTGGAAATTTGTGCCCTGGATGAAAAGATAATTGCGATCGAAAGATGTAGCAAAATCGCTACATGGGCGGCCACAAAAATTCAGTCTTTTTGGAAGCATTCAGCGTCTGGCCGTACTACAGAGCTTGCGATAGTACTGTACGGCCAGACGCAGTCGAGGTAGCATTTTCCGTATCGTAATCCTTACTTTTAGGACCCCGTTCCTATATAGGAAGGGAAAGACTCACCAAAACAGTTGACTAAATGACACTCAAAATTGACATTCTGATACTTCTTGGCACATCTGAACAATTGGCAATGACACCTTCTTGACTTCTAAAGACTGCTTTAGCCTGCAAAAGTCACTTTGGTACTGGACAGACATCTGCAAAAGTCGGGTGTCGGACGCTTCGCCCCATTTCCACGTCGCCCCATGTCACTTCGCCCCTAACCACTTCGCCCAATCCCCACTTCGCCCCATCCCCACATCGCCCCATCCCCGCTTCGCCCCATCCCCACTTCGCCCCATCCCCGCTTCGGCCCATCCTCACTTCGCCCCATCCCCACTTCGCCCTAGATGTAGATTGGTTCCTCTAAGAGTGAAATTAGGATGTCAAAGGTATTGTCGTTCTCAGATAAGTGGGAGACGGGTTGGTATAGCCGGGTTGGGAACAAAGTTGGATCTTTTACGCCAAAAAAAAAAAGTCTCCGGTTTCTGGTATGCGCGCGCGTCGCCATAAGGCATGCGCGTTGGCAAAATGAAAAAGTTTTTTTTCAATACAAGATGATGTATCAAAACCGCCAAACTCACTGGTTTGACTGGAATCCTGCTGCTGAACAATTTTAACGTGTTTTTAGATGGGGTTCTGATCGAGAATAAGCTTTATGTGGCCTCTCTGGACTCCCATATATTTGCACTAAGTTTAGTCGGGCACCATTTGCAGTCATCAGCCGACATTTGAAGCAAAGAAAAAAAAAAACCAGGTAAAAAAAAAAAAAAAACCCGCGTCGCCGCACCACTTTTGGGGCAAGCTCCATACCAGAAACCGGAGACTTTTTTTTGTTGGCCTTACTTCAAGCTTTTTTTCTCGGTAAGGGAGAGTGATAGCTTGAGAGGTTGGTTATGAATTGTTCATTTTGGTGGGCTAATTAATTCTTTCCGTTGGTTAGCAATTAGTGAATCTGTTGGAATTGTTTTTAAGCCAATAAAATAGATGAGATTTTTTTTTTTTTACATGTAACAGCTGGGGCGAAGTGGGGATGGGGCGAATTGGGGATGGGGCGAAGTGGGAATTGGGCGAAGTGGGGATGGGGCGAAGTGGGGATGGGGCGATGTGGGGATGGGGCGAAGTGGGGATGGGGCGAAGTGGTTAGGGGCGAAGTGACATGGGGCGACGTGGAAATGGGGCGAAGTGTCCGACATTCCAAAAGTCAGTTTTGAATATTAGAGGTGTCCTAAAACTTAAAGTAAGGATTACCGCATTTTCATTGAAAAAATATTTTTGTCAGGACATTTAATTATTACGGCTATCGTGTAGTGTAGGGCCCCTGTTTAGTTTCGATCAAATTAGAGTCAAAAGTGTTTTTTTTTATTACCCAAAAATATTGACCTCTTTCAACCTTAAGCAGACTTCTCTCATGTCTCTCATTCAATAAATCTTTTGCTATTTTAACTGCGCACATCAGATTTAATGATTTAGTTTCGAGAGATTAACAGTTCGCCACACGCGTGCAAAATCATAGCGGGGTAGGCCTACCAACAAAACCAAAGAAAAGATCTTGTTTTGATGTAAATGCAAATGTTAATTGTTGTTAACGGCACCATGGTAGAATAAGATGTTTTATGTGCTCCAACTCATGAGCAAACAAAAGTATATCTTCTTTTTAACTAGGCCTATTGCAAAATGCGGATTCGGTTACCATGACCCCCATAGACTTGTGTGCATTCAACTGCTTTGTTTATCTAGCGAACTGGTCTTCAAGGAGATCTAGCACATGCAAGATTGGAAGGTGAATTGGCTTGTTATGGCGTCATCTTTTTTGTAATTTTTAACAGTTTCTTGGGGTAGAAATAACGATATTCCTACGTAGTTTAGGGTTGGTGCTGTGCCAGTCAGCGCACCGTGCAGTGCAGGCACGTTCACGGTACATTGCGTGGTGATCGCCATTTTTATTTTCGTGTTGTGTTTTGTCATCGTCATCGTCATTTTACACCCAAATTTCCCTCAAAAATTCAAAACCCTGCCCTCTATCTTTGACATACCTGCATGTTCTTAATGTCGCCAACTATTATGGTAGGTCAAATAATTTAAAAGTGGATTTTGTTCCCCTAAAGTTATAGGAAACCGGGCCCATAAATACACGATCGCCATTATTACAACATGTACAATAACTAAATTACAAATGTACATTGTACATGATTGACTATCATGTGTCATGTTGACAATTGATTGCATCACATTAACTCTAATGTACATTGTAAGAACTACAACTTGTACTGTAGAAGGCACTCAAGCGTAATCATGGTATTAAATGCTTTGGGTTTCCAAAAACGGCGATAATTGATACTGGGCGATACTGCAATTCGTCTATCACAGTATCAGTGATACTGTCGTCTAGACAAATTGCATCCAAAATTTCACTTTCTCATATATATAAATCTCTCAAAACAAAAGCAGCTCTGACTGAAACATGTCCCTTTAAAATTGAGAATTAAGAGCTTAACTCAATGACCCTTGGGCATAGCTGCCAACTAGTACGATTTTTTCGTAATTATTACGAATTGTTTGTTAAATTACGAAAATACGATTTGCCACTAAAACATTACGAATTTCCCATTTTCTTCCTTCATGAAAAAAAAATGTAAAGTATCGTTTTTGACAGAAAACTTCTGGCGAAATGTCACGATAATGGATGGACTGGTGACAAGTCTAATAAGAATGCAGTCAAGCACCTGATAGACATCAATGCAGTGTGCGCAGTGGAGTACTTGAGGACCAGACTAAAAATATTTTTCAGTGGTGTGTCATTTGTGTGCATCTCGTGGATGTATGGGTGTGTGGACTGTATGTGAGTACTTTTCAGTGACGATCGTGAGCACATTTAGTCGCTTATTGCCGGGATGAGACCCATCAGTGCGAGATTTTAATCATGGAATTTAATAAGAGTATGGTTGGAATAATTGGTAATAGAGTTTGAGTTTGTCACAACGGACAGAAAAGATAAATCAGCATGCGTTTGCAAGGTATGTTGGCGGGATATTTCTATTGCATACGGTGGCCATTAGCTGGAGTTACCCAGCCCTGAGTTTTATCATGGGGTTGTCTATTAGGGCTGGAGCGCATTTTTCTCGTAACTTGTAGTATTTGCAAAAAAAATTTGGAAAATGTTCAATTTTGTCCCCGTTACACACTAATTGCAACTGCAACTCACCCCAAACTTGCCTGGAATAACCATTACACAGGTCCTTGAAGTAAAAAACGATCCACGATGAAGATTCAGCCTACAATTGCAGTGAAAACAGGAGGAATAACCGCTAACCTGACAACCTTTCAGGCATGGCCAGGACTGCTATTGGTTTGTGCACAAAAAAAATTGTGTACAATGAATGGCGGTCGATTAACAGGCACAGAGAGCGATCGCTGTCAACTACTCGTTTTTGCCGGCTGCGCCGGCGTTGGCGCGTGACGTCACGCGGAAGCGTAACACCCGACGACTGTTTCATGCACTAGTATAAGGTTTACCACTCGCATCACAGCTTTGGTACTGGAACCGCAACCAATAGTGCATGAAACAGTCATCGGGTGTTACGCTTCCGCGTGACGTCACGCGCAAACGCCAGCGAAGCCGGCAAAAACGAGTAGTTGACGCGATCGCTCTCTGTGCCTGTTAATCGACCGCCATTCATTGTACACAATTTTTTTTGTGCACAAACCAATAGCAGTCCTGGCCATGCCTGAAAGGTTGTCAGGTTAGCGGTTATTCCTCCTGTTTTCACTGCAATTGTAGGCTGAATCTTCATCGTGGATCGTTTTTTACTTCAAGGACCTGTGTAATGGTTATTCCAGGCAAGTTTGGGGTGAGGGAAAAATTCTGCCAGCCGGACTCCACTTACCTGCCGCCAAACATCCAAATGTTCACCTCACCTTGTGATTTCAACCAAGAGGAATCCAGGAAAGAGTGGACATGCGAAAAAAAAATGGTAAAAATGTGTTTTTGGAGCACATTTTGCTTGCACATGTAGTGCAGATCTGAGTTGAAGCAGCCGGTCAAAACTGATTGAAGTGTCTGGAACAGCGGTACGTTGTACGCATGACATCGATAACCATGACGTCGCATGAGACGTCGCATGAGCCGGCCAATGATAGTGCAATACGTCATTATGAATATTTATTTTCTCATGAATATTTAGTTTATTTCAATGAATACTTCAAATACGTCCAAAGATTGATCATTGCAACAGCGATCGTGCGCGGCCTAGCGGTTAAGAGACTCGTGTATCAAGCAAGCGTTCGAGGTTTGAATCTCGAAGAAGTGAGCGACTGATTGATAAATAGAAATTAAGGAAAGGAGGGGGTGAGAGTAGAGGAGGGAAAGTGGAGGGAATAACCATAAAAGAGGTAACTTTTGGCGCTAGAAAATTTATTGAAAAAAGTGGTGTCCGGTTGGCAGAATTTTTCCGGGGTGAGTTGCAGTTGCAATTAGTGTGTAACGGGGACAAAATTGAACATTTTCCAAATTTTGTTTGCAAATACTACAAGTTACGAGAAAAATGCGCTCCAGCCCTAATAGACAACCCAATGATAAAACTCAGGGCTGGGTAACTCCAGCTAGGTGGCCATAGATCATTGTGTGTAAAAACATGATACGAACTCGAAACTCAACATCGATAGCATGCATCTCCAAAAAAAATACGCACATGTTATTGATTTTATTATTTATTTGACTTCAACAAACAAATACAGACATTAAAACAAAATTAATTTAAATTGTTTTTTTTTTTTTAATTGTTTTTTTTTTTTTTTTAATTATCTTTTGGCCTACAGTACATTATTATTCACAACAAGAAGGGTATGCACATGTATGTGTACATGTAAACCATGTACCTGTACTTGATGTTGGTAAAGCTTTCGATAAAACGGAGAAGTTGAAAATGACCGCGCGGGTTGATTACTAATTGGGATTTTGAAATGTTGGCAGCTATGCTTGGGTTTACAACATGGTGAATGTGCACGGACAAACAGCATATACCTGGTTGATGTCTTTTTTTGCTAGTTATGGCAACCCTAAAAATGCACACAGGCATGACAGGTGCCTTAGATCAAGTATTTAGTAGAAGCAGCATCACATCACACTTCATGGATTCTGCAAACCTGTTCCATCCTGATTCATCGCCAATTTCTTTGATTTCTGTAGGATCACTGCAAACTCTAAACTAGACAATTGCTGGATCCAGTTTCTTGTACAATCTCCTTTTCCTTTTCTCCAATTTCCCTTTTAAAAACAACACATCTACATAGTGTTAAAAAACAATATGTGTGTGATTTATGACAGGGCCTTATCCGCCGACAGTGCCTGGTGACTTCCCAGGTGCAAGTGCGATGTGCATCAGGGCGTCAAGTCAACACTGTGGTCTTGTTTGTACCTCAGCAGGAAGCATGGGTCATCGAAAGAATGGGCCGATTCTACAAAGTCCTCAATCCGGTAACTTGTTGGTGAAAGCTAATTTACCCAGACTCCACATTTACGCATTGTGAAATTGATTTCAACAATTTCAAATTTGAGCCCTTCTACAAATGCATCGTCTATGATTGTAGCAGTACTGATGAGATCATAATATTGACCCAGTGTTTAGGAAGCAAACATTTTGAGGGAGAGTTACCTTCACTTGAATTAAAAATACTGTAGTTAAAAAAAAAGAATAGTTGTTGATCCAAAATTGGGACATGGTTTACTTGTGACATTTTCAAAATCATTTCCTTGACATCTATGTGTGTTTGAATCACTCTACTTTATTTATGTGTACATGTTAGCATCCCGATGGCTAATTAACAGAGGTATACTTGTATGTTGAGGCAAACCTAACATAACAGGAATGAACACTCAGTAAATGATACTAACAATTAATAGTGATAACTGACAACTTTTTTTCCTAAATTAGCTTCTTTTTGGTCTAGGGCGAATCATTTTGGTAAAACAAATGGGCCAAGTGGGATACTTGACTGCCATTTTCAATTGATATTTTCCCTTCTTTTCTGCTAGGGTTTGAATCTTCTGATACCAGTGCTGGACAAGATCAGATATGTCCAAAGCCTGAAAGAGATTGCCATTGACATACCAGAGCAGAGTGCCATCACAAATGGTGAGAAACAATCCAATGGTAGATGCATTTTATGTTGGATAAAATCCTAACCCATCCAGAATTCTAGATCACTCCCAATTCACTAAGATGTTTTGTAGTCCAGTTAGGACTTTTGTTGTTAATTAACATATTTCCCCAAGGTTGATTTTGGTTACTAACATCTTTCCAGTAGGAAGGGTTACCAGCAGAAATTTGCAAGTATTAGGATTCATGGAAAGCGACCCGGCTCAGCCATGTCTTTGACATCCTACACTTGCATGTATGACAGACTTAATCATTGTTATGCCATTGATTGAGTCCATCTCTAGAAATCAACGGAGTTTGCACCTGCAAGGTTTGCTTGTTTGAATCTGGGTGTTGATTCGGCGTGAACCGATGTGTTTTTATTTTTTGCAGATAATGTTACACTACGTATTGACGGCGTGCTTTACCTGAGAGTAGTGGATCCATACAAGGTAATTCAGAAGACAATCCAATATTTTTATTTATTCTGTCTTATAATGGTCACCTTTCTGTTCTTGCAGTGCCAGCAAAGAAATTGGTGCACCACCACAAAATCCTTAATTATATATAATATACGTATACAGTAATAACAAAGCCTTCAGTTACATTAGGCCAAAAAAAAAAGTCTCCGGTTTCTGGTATGGAGCTTGCCCAAAAAGTGGTGCGGTGACGTGGCTTTTTTTTTTTTTAAACCTGATTTTTTTGCTTCAAATGTCGGCTGATGACTGCAAATGGTGCCTGACTAAACTTAGTGCAAATATATAGGAGTCCAGAGAGGCCACATAAAGCTTATTCTCGACCATAACCCAATCTAAAAACACGTTAAAATTGTGCAGCAGCAGGATTCCAGTCAAACCAGTGAGTTTGGCGGTTTTGAGACATCATCTTTCATTGAAAAAAAACCTTTTTCATTTTGCCGACGCGCATTGCTACGGCGACGCGCGCGCATACCAGAAACCGGAAACTTTTTTTTTTGGCCTTAGCAGAGATTGTTGTTTTTGTTATAAGAAGAACCATGAGAATTTGCCCTGATTTGATGGGAAATTACACAGTTGGTGTTTTGCAGACATTTGATATTTTTTTTATTTTGACAGGCAAGTTACGGTGTTGAGGATCCAGAATATGCAGTCACGCAGCTGGCCCAGACCACCATGAGATCAGAAATAGGAAAGATTACACTCGATTCTGTCTTCAAGGAAAGGGAGTCCCTCAACGTCAGTATCGTAGGTGAGTCTCAGTAAGGACATCACAACAGTGCATTAATTACCAAAGCACTATAGCAGCCCAAGCAGCTATAGGAAAGTTCAATCAAGCACTGTGGTTATGCATGGTTAAACTATACTATCATTAACAAATGAAACTAGTTTGTTTGGGCTCCGTACACAAACAAGAGAGAGAGAGAGTTAACGACTAATGAGAGCCCCGTTAACAGGACACACCGGGTGCATGAGCCTCAGGAACAAAGGCAATGCGTTGTCCCTCACAGTGGTCTCCCCAAATAACCCTTTCTTACCGTTGAGGGGGTACTTTTGCACAGAGCCCATAGTGAAGTGCTCACATTCATAAGCAAGTATTAAAATAAAACATCATGAGGTGTCTTGCGTTATACATCAACACTATCCCCCACCTGATTACATCATCACATTATGACGTGCTTGGCCTTTTGAAAACCAGTGAAAGCACCAAACCTCAGCTGGCTGGTCCCAAAATGATTGACTAGACTAGTTGAACTGTTGTTGGGCCAAAAAAAAAAAGTCTCTGGTTTCTGGTATGGAGCTTGCCCAAAAAGTGGTGCGGCGACGCGTTTTTTTTTTTTTTTTTCCCTGATTTTTTTTGCTTCAAATATCGGCTGATGACTGCAAATGGTGCCCGACTAAACTTAATGCAAATATATGGAAGTTCAGAGAGGCCACATAAAGCTTATTCTCGACCATAACCCAATCTAAAAACACGTTAAAATTGTGCAGCAGCAGGATTCCAATCAAACCAGTGAGTTTGGCGGTTTTGAGACATCATCTTTCATTGAAAAAAAAACTTTTTCATTTTGCCTACGTGCATGGCTATGGTGACGCGCGCGCATACCAGAAACCGGAGACTTTTTTTTTTTGGCCTTGACTTGGGTCACAATGATGACACCTGATGACATCACCTCACCCGAGCATTCATATCAAAGTGTACAAATATGTTATTATTATATTACATTTCATTTCTGGTAATGAAACCAAGGATTCCACAAAACTGCTCTATAGGCACTAGCTCGCAAGCCTGAAGAAACCGGTAGAGAGGAGACAGTGAGAAGAAATTACATTTTTAAAAGTGGGAGGAAAACCCCAGAAGAATATTGTGGGGAAAACCCATGGAATCAAGTAGAGACGGAAAACCAAATCCACATGTTGGCCCAGGCGGGATTAGAACCCGGGTCACAGCGGTGATAGGCGAGGCAAGAACCGCTACGCCAACCTAACTCCCCTGGAGGTGTATGCAGGCTTGCATTTTTTGCTCGGCTAATGATCTGAGTGACCAGCTCACCAGACTGCCTGAGCTCAGGTGTACGGGACTTCCCGCATGTGTACATGGGGTTGAGCTCATATGCTGCAAAGATTGTCCGTCTAAGTCTTATCTGGAGTTGTAGAATCTAAAAGCACCTTCAAAGAGGAATGCACTTGAGTGTGGCTTCAGGATGCAATGATGCTCATCTAGCATCTGTCACTGCTCTCTCTGTGTCACCATTGAGAGGACTCTGGAGTTTTTTTTATGTATTCCTTCCTTGTTCAATCCTCCAGAGGCCATCAACAATGCAGCGGTGCAGCCCTGGGGCATCAAGTGTCTCCGCTACGAGATCAAGGACATTGAGCTACCCAACAAGGTCCAGGAAGCTATGCAGATGCAGGTGGAAGCCGAGAGGAAAAAGAGAGCGGTGGTCTTACAATCAGAAGGTTTGTGCCCCTTCTTGTGATGGATCACAAGCACATCACAAGTTCAGTCATAAGTAAATCACAAGTCGTTTCATAAGTTCCATCACAAGTAATAGGGGTAGAATAATGTCAAAGGAACATCTGTGTCACAGTTCATGCAAGCAGCTTGTGAGTTGACCTGGGAATGGATGACCTGTGTTGCATTCTTGAACACCTCAATTGCAACGTTGGCTAAAAGGGCTTGAAATATCCTCTTGACCTCAGCTCTAGATCCTCTGGATTAGGTGTTGGTTTAGTTGCGGTCAAATTATCCGCTCCGTTCACAAGCACCCCCTCACCAAAAAAAGGAAGTAAAGTTGGGGGTGACTGACCGACGCCATCTTGCCTGACTGCAATTCATTTGCCGCGAAGTGCGGTCACTGCGTGTAAATAGAACAAATCCCCTGGTGTACGTGCGTCACACACAAGGAACGGTGCGCGTCAACCAGCAAAATGTCCCGCCCATGGGACGTCGTTAGGTAAAAGGGCGCCCTCTTTTGGTAGCGCACAGAGCTCGTACAAGTGGTCTGCTGGTTTTCCATGCTACTGATTTAGTCCGGAAATTTGGGGCGCTTAATGTGTACAACAGTGTGTACAACAGTCCCAAAACTTAAGGTACTGAAAACATGCAATACAAGAAAATAGACTGGCACATGAAACAACCAGTTCAACACCCCTTTAGTACTGCATCAATTAACTGGGACAAATAAAACATCTGGTACCAGTCGCTTTTTCTACACATGTTTCCATAGTCTGCCACCAGACTACTGAAGAGGTCCATCTTTTCAAACAATTTGACATGTAATAGTCGAGTATTCGGCTTCAAATTGAAATCACTTGGCTTCACTCTCAATTGCAAGATATCAAAGAAAAGTTTTTATTTTTCGTATTGAATTAAGATCTCAAACTTGGCTGGTGAAATACTGAGGACCTTGTCTTTGCCTCATGAAAACTTTGGAGAAATTTGTTTTGCATGTATTTCTGCACTCAAGTTCTGCTACGGATCATTATTTTAAATGCTAAACGCTGTAATTGTTTGATGAAGTCTGGGGATGTAATATTTTGCAGAAGAAAACTAAGTCCGCACAATTTTTTTGGTTGAAATTTGCACAAGAAATGTTTGGTTTCAAACCACCTTCACCCATCTAAAGTTCAAGTGACAAATTGAAACTCTTCAAATTTAGAATGATTGCCTTAGATGGTTACAATACACCATGACACGAAGCCAAACGTGTTGTCTCAAGTAGGCACCAATAGTGGCTTGCCTTACGCGAAGAGTTTTAATAACCGTTTCATGTTACGAGTTTTCCTGATGTTTGGAATTGCTTCAGGTGTTCGAGAATCAGAAATCAACGTCGCAGAGGGGAAGAAACGGGCCAAGATTTTAGAATCCGAGGCAGTCAAGACAGAGCAGATCAACAAGGCATTGGGTGAGGCCCAGGCTATCATTGCCAAGGCCAACGCTCGGTCTGAGGCTCTCAAGGCGGTTGCCGAAGCCATCGGGAAAAAGGTTATCAACCACAAGCAAGATGATTCTGTTAATTTACCCCTATTGTGTACAGTCTGTTGCACCGCACCACAGCTGTGGTAAAATGTGGTGCTGTAATGTTCTGCCACTAAAATGCACACTACTGACAATCATGACACTAGTTCACGGTGCAACCATAACAGTACTACTGCATCTGAGTCTTGTCCGATAAATTATTGCGGCACTTTGTTGGATTCTCTGTCTTCATTCCATTTTTGTCTGCATTTCCATCTTAAAATATTTGAACTTTTGTATAGGAATGCTGCTACCAGCTTCAGGTTCTCATGATCATGCTACCATCTGAAACAATGACTGCGAATAAATAATAAGTGAAACAAAAATTGAAATTGAATCATAACTTTTGTTAATTGGAATTTGTTTGTCTTAATGAAGACTTGATTTGTCTAACTTTCGTTTCTTTTCTTTTTAATTCAAAATCCCTTTCCAGGATGGCAACAATGCGGCATCGTTGAATGTAGCGGAGCAGTACGTGGCAGCGTTCAGTAACTTGGCCAAGACGGGCAATACTATCCTCCTACCATCCAATACAGGCGACATTAGCAGTATGGTGGGACAGGTAAGGGAAATCTCATCACATATAAAAGAACGTTTTATTTGCTTTCAGACATGTCAGAATGCTCCTATGGGGAGTGTGATGTAGTGGTTAGGGTTAGTGACTCATGATCAGAGGGTCAAGGGTTCAAATCCAGCTGCTGATCATATGTTGTGTCCTTGGGCAAGCCACTTCACCCCCACTTGCCTCTCTCCAACCAGGAGCTTAAATGGGTACCGGCATTAGCTGGGGAGTAACCTGTGATGGACTAGCATCCCATCCAGGGGGAGTAGAAATATTCCCAGTCGTTTCATGCTACTGAACCGGACATAAACGCCAGCCTGATGGGCCACATCGGCCCGTGACAGACTTGACTTTACTTTTGTTTCCGAGTTATATTACAAGGGGAAGGGAGCTGAAGCCTGAAGGTGCAGATTGTAGGGAATGGGGTTGCCTGCATAGAGCAAGTTCAGGTGATGACTATGGTTTACCACAGTTTGCCTAACTTAGCTTGAAACAATGGATGGTAAGATGACTCTAGTCGACTATTTGGAACTGCTTCCCCGGGCACGGTTGCATCACTGGTTACCAATAGCCGCATGCATCATAACACATGGCAGGGAGCCAGGATCAAGAAGTTGCATGATGACGTTTTTCCCAGCTTTTGACTAAAGGCGTTCGCATCTTGCTATCAGTGCGCAGGCGTAACTCAATCAACCACTAGTTGATTCATGGACCTTACCTGAATTTGTCCTTTGTTACAATCAAGTTAGTCACAAGTCATCAAAAGTCCTTACAAGTCATCCCATCCCAAGCAAGTCAAGCTACAAAGCATTCAAATGAACTGTGGTGAAGTGGCTCAGTCTGTGTTTATCTCTTGTAATTTGTGACCCGACTTGTGAGTGACTCGATCATGAATCTGGAGAGATGCTATACATGCACAGGTGTATAGGTCTCGTTCAAATGACGTCATTTCCTACAGACCATCCACGTGCATCAGCATTTTGAGCAACAAGCGCGTGTTTAGAAGATTTTCAACACTGCGCAATGCGTGCTTGATTGCGTAAAATATGCAGTTGCATTCCTTCTACAGAGATGGCCATCATTGACAAGCCCTATTGTGTGCGTACCAATGTGGGGTGCTTAGGATTTCAGCACAAAGCACAAGTCAATGCTCAACCTCACATTTATATCATTTACTAAAATTTACCTTTTCAAAAGATCAGCCAGTTAACCGAAGCACTACACCAGGATTTTCTGTACAATTCGTATCCTGTTTTGTCTCCCGACCAGGCAATGGCCATCTATGGCAACCTAAGCAACCAGCCCAAGCGCCCCTCCACACATACCACCCAGGTGTCCGCGCAGGACAATTTGCTAGCCGACATCCAATCAGCGGAGAAAGATCTACGGAGGAATATACAGCAGCAGGAAGATGAGCTCAGGACGAGTCACCACCAGACTCCGCCAAAAGACATCTGACACTATCCACCAGTTTTAATGATTAGACTTTTAATATCCTAATTTACCCCTTGTCAGTTTGATTTCTTTGTCTAATTAGAGCTGTATATCTTTACTGTCCTGATGAATATATTCATCATGATATGTGACATACATGTATCCTTTTTTTTGTATGAAGGAATGAAATATATTTTTCTCCCAAATAAACCACAATGGGAAGTTGACTAGTGTATTATAATAATAATATTAAAAGTCAGACAAAGATATTGACTGGAGAGGGGATTGAACCTGTGACCTCCGGATTGCTGTTCCGGTGCTCTACCAACTGAGCTATCCAGCCCCATGTTGGCAATATCTTTGTTCAAGGAGTGTTAGTTAGAAGCCATAAACCCCTGTGTGGCAATTATAAAATGGAATACAGTTTACTTGGCTTTGTACTCAATGCAGTACTTGTGCTGAGCTTTCACACATTTGTCATCCTTAACCAGTTCGTGCCGGGATTATTTTGAGATGATCAGACCCAAGCACAGGATTGTTTTCACGAACCTAGATATTCAGGCTCTCATCTGCAGGTAGCACACCCTGATATTTCCTGCCTTGCTCGCTGCGAGCGGGAGAGCTTACAGATATTTCCGGCCTTGCTTTTTGCATTTTTATCCATCATCTGTTCCTAATACCGCAAAACCTTTACGTGTATACATGAACTGGTAAACAGCGGTTTTACACTTTTACTTCAACTTTTATTTCTAAGATTCATCCGGAAACTGGCGTAGTCCTGGTGCATTAAAAAAGTTGCCACGGTGTAAAGTGTAATATTTTACAACTAAGACTTTGCTACATGGGCCTGTTGGCATTAGCGAGAGTATGGAAAGACAGGGTTCCCACAGTCATGGAACATCCAGGAGTATAAAGCCGTCATGGGAAAGTCACTGAATTTTGTTATTTTATAAGGAGTCATGGAAAGTTGATATTCCTAAAAAAAAGGTCAAGGTAAAGTCGTGGAATCTTGCATAACCATAATATTTGGCTATGGCAGTCTTCCAGTTTGCATTCCAGTTTGTTATACTTCTTCTGTATGCTCTACATGGATGCTTTTTTGGTGGCCAGTGGTCTTGTGTCAAATCGGAAGGCCGATATGGAGTGGTGTACCTTGCCCCAGTGTGATGACTTGCCAGTATTAAAATACGCTCCTAAGATGCCAAAATAGCACAGGGATTGGTCATTGAAAAAGCCTTCAGTTTGTCCTGGAAAAATCATGGAAAAGTCATGGAATGTTTTTTTAAAGATTTCTGTGGGAACCCGGGATAGAAATTTCTATCTCAGTCATTTCTGTGTTTTTGAAAGCAAACAATCTATCCTTTTAATCAAATCGTCACAATTCCATCAGCCTCAAGTCAAGACTTTCAAATGAACTTTGACCAAAGCTTTTCTATCCGGTTCGTTAGTAAAAACGTCATACACGCGCGCGCACCACTGATTACTAGCGCCCATTGGCTACAAACACTCGAGCTGCGTTAACTTCCGGTTCCAATCGTGCAGAAAGTGCTGGAGGTGACGTCACACTAACGAACCGGATGTCATTGCTCATCCCATGTTACTTGTGTGACCTGGCTTGTGGTATGACTTGATCGTTCTTGCAAACTGTCACAGCCCGTGTATCAAGACAATGTTTAAACAAAATCAAATATGTGTGATTCCTCCATATATTTTTTTTTTATTTTAAAATGTGCAACAATGCTTTTTGCACAGGTACGGTACGGTGATCACAAAATCTCTTTTGTATTTAGACTATCTAGCATTCACATTGTACAATTCTAAACTAATCTTGAAGTACACAAATAAATACGAGCACCAAAAGCTGAATTTGTCCAAACTTACAGAAGTGATTTATGTTTGGTTGACTCTCGCTCGCCGGTTTCTTTTCCATAGTGTCGGGTCTTGCTACCATTATTTTCAAACAGAAGAGTTTCTAAAAGTTTTTTTTTATAGATTTTTGATTCAACTACATTTCCTTTAAACTCCAGTTCCGATTCGGTTTCAAAACAACGTGCAACACATACAACTCACACAAATAATAACTTAATGCACGGTTGCAAATTAACAAACTGCTAACGGAATGTACAGATTGGGTACACTTGCAAATTAATGCAATTTCCCCATCCAGATATTGCCCACTCCCCCACTGTACCCCCTTTCAGTCGTATTGACCAATCAGGGCACGCTATCAATTTAATCACGAAGACCCCCTTCAATGGTGGAAGCATTGTGCTAGCTATTGTTCAGATAATCCGTCATGCCGGAGCAGTTGCTTTGTACAATAGTCTGCACAATGGTTTCTCCATTAAAGGGGGCCTCGTGCCGTGTACAGTGATCACATACCCTGATTCCTACACCCTGATTTATCAAAGGATAACAAGTCCCTTTAACAGTATTGGCACGTGCCTTTCCGTGAACTTTCGTTTTGTAAAATTTGAAGATGCCCTATTTTTTAAACCAACATTTCACTTTCAACTCGATATACATTATGACGAGCATTCGAAACTGTCATTCGAATAGCTTCAATGGCGAAATATTAAATCACAAGGTGAGAAACTCATATGGAAATTTACGGTGACAGTCGTCGGAGTACAATTTCCGTTTCGCAGAGGATTTATTGAAAAGAACTCGTGCTCTCTGTATGTATTATTCTACGGTGGTAAGTATATCAAGATTTCATATTTTGCCTCTCAAGAAGGCCTTGCGAAGGCTGAAATATCAGGCCACTTAATTATTTGGATTTGCATTTTTCAAGTCAACTTCCAGTCAGCAGTTTGCAGCAGTTCAATTCATTTTCAAGATTTTATATTCATTATTATAGGCTAATAAAAACCTGTTGTTGAACTGTAAAAGCCAAATATTAGCTCAAGTGAAAACCTCTTTCTTATAAGCAGAGCTTAGTTGACGGATCAGAGCCTATGCAAACACGTGAACGTGACTATAGAATATATATCTCGCTATGCACATCATGAAATCCACTGCACAAAGTATTATTATAAATCTGTAATAATTAGCCGTGCGATCTATATAAAGATCACGATGTTTACGCAACAGATATTCAGTTTATCTTGGCACATGTAATTGTCGAAAAAAATGTTAAGTGTAAACCGGCATTCATAAACATTCCGTGGCTTGTGACGATAACATCTTTGAGTTGGAATTACGTGGCAAAAAAAGATTCACGGCGAATGACAATGTTGAAAGGATGCAGGCAGTTTCATCACGGTAAGCCTTGAACTTTTTTTCTTGACAAACCTTACGAATGAAAAATAGTATACAACCTGGATAACATTACCCACAGAAACGCACCATCTTTTAAAACCAGATTTGCTTCGCAGGCTGAGTATTGACTGCATATTTTTGAAATAGGCATAGGCCTAAAAGAGTGCTATTGACGAAATATTTTTCGTAATCAAAAGGTTGAATGTGCATCTTTTCTCGAAAAGTGTAATATCCACTGAGCTGAAACTTCATCAGGAGTGGAGTTATTGTATAAATGGGAAACGAACAAAATGCATGAAAAGCAAATGATGTCATATACCCTCAAGACTTTTGCCAAGAATTTAATGTCGCATTAACATGTTCCAATGATTGAGAGTAAGTACAGTTATTTTCAATCGATGTTCCAGTGAACGAAAAAGCGGTCCGGACGCGCTAAGTTATACATGTTCAATTCATCTTTTGAATAATTCAGCTTAGACGTAAGACGTAAGTGGATATCCACAACGCAACCCACCATCATAACCCAGGATTACTATGCCTCAATTTAAAAATGCTAAAAGAAAAGAGCTCAAGGACATCACATTCTTTGAAATTTCGATCGCCAAAAAAATTCGAAAATTTGAAAAATCAGGTTAACTCACTTACAGAAGGTGCAAACTAGACCTATAAACTTAGGCATCACATATCACTGTACAAAAGAATAATGTTCCCGTTCAACAGAACGCCGAAATAGGTACGCCAGAATTTTGAACAAAGAGAAATCATGAAGTAAGTAAACCTTTGCATAAAAAAATATACAAAATTAATTATACACATTTTTTTCAGTGCGCCAAAATAACAGCGTGACAAATTAAAAAAAAAAAATATCAAAACCAATAACCATTTTTTCCCAGTACGCCAAATAATATGGCATGATGTCAAAAGAAAAAAAAGTTGTGAATCAATGAGCAAAACCTTTTGCAAAGAATTGCGGGGTTCGTCAAAAATCCATCAACTGTCAAATGTGCCTAATGAAACATCGTAGAAACAGCGCAATAGTCGTATGAAACATGGGCGCAGGAAATTATTGACGATAAGGCCGAATAAAGATTAAATCAATCTGAAGAGATGAATGTAGGTGCAATGCCAACTTAGATAAGAACCAACAAACTTCAAAGAAAAAAAACCAAGCGCTTCAGTTTCGGACCAAAAATCACCCACAGGGGATCAGCGGGAAGATTAGCTTCCTTCTGTGTGTCAGCAGGATTTGACAAACTACCGGACTGATTTTTCCCTTCAAAAAGCATCCTCGATTACTCTGTGTCGGCACCGAACAGTTTGCCAATTTGGTCTGGCGGTACTGACGGCAGTGTAAATGGCTGCCTGGAGAGATTTCTTGACATAACCATGTTACGAAGATGTTATAAATTTTGTTACGTCATCATGACGTCATCAGGTATCAAATTACAAGCGATTTAAGGGCAAATTTTTACAAAATAGTTTGCGTTATATCTTTTGAACTAAATAGAGTATCGTGTTCGTTTTTTTCGTGAGGTTGTAGACTACAGCCGTGAGAAACATTTTGTGTTCCCAGACACAAAACCGCTTGACCTTTACTTCCGGTGTTACCGAAAGTGCAATAAAAACTGAATATAACTCAAAAGCGGAAGCATTTTACTACAGACTCATATATTATGAAAGTGTTTAGTGAGGAATGCCAGACACAAAAAAACAGTGTGATGACGTCATCACCCGTAAGGGCGCCCCTAGCGGCACATAAAATATTGTTTCTTTTCTTTACTTTTAAAACCATGGGTTCAAATTTTAACAAATCGACCCTAGATTTTCTTTGATTAACCACAGATAACTTGGCAAGGTTTCAAACTCATGACGTCATCAGACTGGAAGGTACTTTTATGAGAATTTGCCAACGATCATATTTTAAATTTAATTCTATCATTTGATCCATGTGGTATATCTTAGCCCAAATAACGATACCATTACAATGTTCACCTTTTGCTTCCAAACACTGTGACGTCATCAAACCGGAAGTTCGGTGTTATGAATACATACACTTATAGTTTTCAAATTTTCATACGTTATTTAACTTCACAATGAACATCCACTCCGAACTAAATCAGTATTCACTTCCCGTTTTTGACTAATGACGTTATCAAGCCAGAAATAACTTGTATGTGTACATGTTTGCTGAAATTTAATTGATTGTCCTGGAAAGGATTTAATTTCCTGATACTTTATTCTTACATAAAAATATTCATAACTTAACTGGACAGAGTTTCATAAATTACTTGTCTACCGACTACTCTGTGTTTGTAACAACAAACGCGAATCTCTAGTTATTAACTATTTCTGGTAATGAACCAAGGATTCCTCAAAAGCGCCATAGGCACTGTAGCTCGCAAGCCTGAAGAAACATGTGGATAGAAGACAGTGAGAAGAAGTTACAGTTTTAGAGGTGGAAGGAAAACCCAAGAAGAAGAATATATTGGGAAAAACCCGCGGAGCAGGCATGAACTAAAAACCCAATTCACATATTGGCTCGGGCGGGATTCGAACCCGGGTCACAGCGGTGGAAGGCCAGGAAAGTACCGCTACTCCAACTGCAATTAACCCTGTAGTTATTATGTTTATTTTAAAGTTCATTACATGGATCCATTAAATAAATATGTCTAAGCAGAACTATTTGGAGCGACGCAATCGCATCGTAGATAATCAAACATGTGCCGCTTGGTACTGGCGTCGGCCTGCCTTCTCATGGTCTTTAATCAAGCCGGCCAGAAGTGCATGAAAATTGCATTTGAGAAAATTTAGCCCCTGATCAATACAACGACATTTCAACACATCGATTATGTCCGATTGTGTTACTCATTGGGGACCTATTTACATGACGGCTGCTTGCCCTGCGAATTCTCAATGTCGCCCTGTCCAACTCCACGGCTGTTAATACTTGTTGAGGTCAACTGCTTTATGTACGGACCGTTTTGCAATAATTTGGCAGTTGGGCTATTATTGAAAATGGCTTTCTCGCATTACTTTGTGGACGGCAACACAACAAGCTTTCCAGCGGTAGTTACCATCTGGCTTTCCTCCCACATTTCTGTGGACACTCGAGATATGATGCCTTTATAAACTTGTAGTTAATGATAAACTTATCTCTTCCCCTTTTCCTCTCTGTAGCTGTCTTTGTGCTGCAGCTACGTAATACATGTACCAAACTTCGATCGCCCTGATTATGCCTTTCGCCGCTGCAATGGCACGCAGGTTGGAACGTGAAGTGTGTCAGTTGCTCTGGGAGTCAAGCGCGTACGGTGAATGATTCGTGCCAGTGAACTTGAAGTAGTCCGTGGATTGACCGTCACATACATACACAGGATGGCTACGACCGAGGAAGCACTGAGCTTGTCCGCATCCCCATCGGCTGCGAACGGGACCACAGAGGAGGAAATCAGCACCGCTGTGCTGGTTTTCCGGACCCTGTTCATCATCTTTGATTCGGTCTTCACCATCGTTGGTAATCCGTTCTGCATCGTGGTCATACGGCGGACCCAAACGCTCTCGGACAGCGCCAAGGTCTTCATGATCGCGCTGGCGGTTGCCGACCTCGCCGTGGGCGTCACCGCGGCGTTTTCCGTCGTGCCTGCCGCGATTGGCGACTGGTTCTGGGGAAACTTGCTCTGTAAAGCCACCTCGGCTCTCGTGACGATATTCTGCCTTGCTTCGGTGTCTTTTCTGGTCTGTCTGTCCGTGGATAGGATGATAGCCGTCACTAGATCGCTCCACTACCCGGCTATCATGACCCAGAGACGAGCACTGATCATCTCCGTTGGCGTCTGGGTGGGATCGGTGGTCATCATCGGCGGGTCGTGGGTATTTAGCCCACCCGTCGATTACAGCAACTTCTCCGTGACTTGCGCCTGGCACTGGGACGACAACTATGTCGCCTTTGCCTCTGTCGTCTCAACCTGTTTCTTCATCCTACCCTCCTCGGTGTTGTACATCATGTACTTGATCATGTTCAAAATAAGTCGTAAGCACGCCAGGAGGATAGCGAACCAAGCGCCTGCGATACCCGCGGCAAGGGAAGCGGACGCACGGCCGCGCCCGCGGGCCCTGTCGGTACCGCACTGGCTCCAGGCCAACGCGGCGGCCAATCCGCGTCATCAGGGAGACCGCAAAGCCCTTAAGATGTTCTGCGTGATCACGTTAGCCTTCACGATAGCTTGGTTGCCGTACAGCGTGTCTATCTTGTACATCAGTATCCGATCAGTACCCTTCCCGCATTGGGTCGGATTTCTCGTAACCTGGCTTGCGCTGTCCAACAGCTGGTTCAATGTCATCATCTACGTGTGCATGAACGGAGCTCTCCGTGAAACTGCCTTACGGATCCTCAAGAAGCAGCGATGGTGTTTCCGCCTTCCTCCCCGGTGCTGCCCAATCAAGTCCAGGGAGGTAGTCCAGGCGCCTGCTCAGGACCAACAAGCCTTCAATACTCTCGCTACGTGAACACAACTTCTCGTACAAGAAACGTCAATGGGGAACTAACTTAATGTTTTTAATCATGGGCTCAAAATGGGCTCGGATATTAGTTCTAGGAAATTTGAGTATAGGCCTACAAGGAAAGGTATAGCACCAATGTGTCATTTGCAATTTGAAAAACATGAAGTTCTGACATCGTAGGAGGACTTACATGCCTACTAAATTGGTCAGTTTCAAGATGAACGTGTTGTAAATTTCACAGATATTACAGCAGAGGCTCTTGTGCGTACTATATCAGGGATCTTTATTTCCATTACTCGAAAGACAAGAGAGTTTTGGCGAAGTAGTTTTCAATACTGCAGTATTAGGCCTTTATATTAGGCCAACATTGTTGTTATGTAATCATGGGAGCTGAATGATCAATTTTTCCCCCTGCAACTCAAAAAAGTTGATATTTTATGATACGCCATTTTTAATGTTTGTAAAAGGGGCTTTATGTTTCTCAAGCATTCTGTAGGCTACTTAAAGGTATGGGCACCATTTGCACAAAAACCCTGTTTTTGCTGATTCAAGGAACAACAATAAATCTGTAGCAAGTCTCTACCATAGCTGTTTGTGAGAAAACTGCGAACATGCGTGTTCGCTGTCCTCAACGCAAAGGCATACTGTTTCCGTTGAAAGCGCGATGGTTTGGTGCTCTTAATTTTTTTTTCTCGAAAATGACAGCATACCAGGCCCGATGATTTCGCACGATGTATGATCCTATTATTGACTAACAATTTTGACAGTTTCATTTTTCAAAGTTTGCACATGGTGTCCATTACAAGCGAAACATTGTGTGCATAATTATTTTGCCAGATATTATTGTTAATGCAAGTGGTGTCAGTGTGCGTAGGTGTTCAATTATACAGATAATGGCGATGATAATGATAAAGAATACCTAATTATAATATAATGCAATGATAACTCCACACACGTCTATGATGGCAAGGGTTATTAAATTCAATTCTTTTTTAACGCGTTCAAAAGGGAGTTGCAAATAGTTCACTCACTGGAATTATTGTCTGGCAGTCAATAATTCGAATTTGTAATACATGTACAAGAAACTGATGATGGGCCGAATTTTTCGGTCGATGTCTCATTCAAACCTGAATAACTGTTGTATTGCCAGAAAAAAATATTAATTTAGGAAAGGAATCCATTTCTTGTGATTAAAATCGGAAAAAAAAATCTGTGAGTAGCTCAATGAAATTGCCCCCTGGTAAAAAGCAGTAAGCCTACAACTGGGGGAAAGAAATACATTGTAAGCGAGAAATATTATAAGTGCAGAAGAGTCAGCGAGCACTGTAGACCAAACACGCGCCTTGCAGCAAGCTCGGTTTTCACCCGTCCAAGACGGGCGTTCCAGCGTCGCGTCGAACCAAAAATGTATGAGTCGACCCAAATGGAATTTCGTTTCACACAGGCAGACTTGATCATTCTATCGACCCAGACCCTGAAAGGAGTCGTTTTCTAACGATTGCAACGGTCGGTCTTTCGCGTGAAGTCGCCCCTTACTGTTCGAAATGTCAAATTTAATTCTTATCTTCGGAATAATTCAATTTGGCGCTTCATTGGAAGGACAGTCTGAGATGGGTGCCAAGCAACTTAAGAGACTACGTGCAGACCATAAATTAGCCGCTTAATATTAAAGAGAATTTCAGAGCATGCAATGTTTTGTAGCTGATATGCGTGTACTAAGTTGAAGCAGAATGGGTAAGATTTTTTTTTTTTAAACTTGAGTCGTGATGATGAAGACTTTTTCTCCTTATAATAATCATTCCACACCGCATACTCTGACTCATTATTGGGGCATTTGTAAGGTAACACCAAAGTTATGAAGTCACAAAATAATACAACATGGCCACAGTTTGTAGAAGGACCTACTTTACAGAATGTATATCACGCGGAATATTCCCCTGATTGCATCATAGATTAAATCATCATTGATTAAACCATGCATGAATATAGAGATTTACATTTGCATAAGATTATACCGCTAAAAGTGTATCAAAACGACAACAGGTTTTCCTGCAGATTTTCTGCCTGACCAATATTAATGTCAGCCCTTTGTAAACCATTCATTGTTACTACATGAACACATCAAAGAACACACTCTGAGATACATGCAATGCCTAGGGTCTATTGTAAAAAAGTCGGATTAATGTTGAAGGCATATTTCGGTAATGGCTTCAGCCAACCACCTGAAACCTTAACAAAAACACCGGACCATTTCCTGCCCCTTATGGAGAAAATGACAAACGCCGGATAAAAACAATCATACTGCAGCTCCACTTTAGTATGTTAAACAATCCAGGGTAACATTTTGTGGGGGAAGGGGAAGCGCTTTCTCCATTACTTAAGTCAACATGCGAGCAATCGCTGACATGCAACATCCGACCGCGTTCTTCTACCTCAAATGTCATCAGTCGTGACTTGTACATTACTTGGACAGAATTGGTTTGTGATTTTTCATCATACATCCCAAGTCGATCCCACGTTTTGTTGCCAGAAAGAAATTGTCCAATTATAAAATTCTGTGATTCATATGAGGGGCTATAGCCTACAATTTTTTTTTGACTGATTCACTGTCACTTGTGAGCCGGGCAGTGCTATTGTATAGGAGTACCCCATGACGCCAATGAATGGGCTAAATCCAATCCACTGTGTACACCAGATACATGTAAAGAAGCTTCCATGAAATGGCCATTCCGAATAAATTGAGTACAGTTTTGTGTTCTCCGTGAACAGTGTTTTGAAAGTCTTCAAACAGCCGTTCCTTCTTCAACAAAATCCCAAGTAGACCTACATAAATCGTTTCATGTCCCATTTTCTAAAGAGCCGGTCATCATTTCGTTGTTTTCTGACATGCTTTTGCAGTTTAATACACGAACCATTGGAATAATATGCACTGGTATACTTGCATTATGGACCTATAGGGATCATTAGACATGGTACACGTACGGGATACGCATGCTTCTCGGAAAAATAAGTGGGCCATTATTGGACCTAAATAGGTTACTTCTTTCCGAGCCGAATTTACGCATCCCGTCGCTACCACAATCATAGATGTTCCCTATAATAGAAATGGTGCGTGAGCTCAAGCGGGAAACGCATGCAGCTCCGGAAAAAAGTGGCCCGTTGAATCACCGTTATGCGTGGTTATTACCACCGCCAAGGAGGTTATGTTTTCACCGTCGTTGGTTGGTTGGTTAGTGTGTTTGTCTGTGAACAGGATAACTCACAAAGTTCTGGACGGATTTTTATGAAACATTTAGGGGTGGTCCTTGGTACAAGTACAAATCGATTAGATTTTGGAAGTAATCGGGATCTGCGTGTGGATCTGCTGGATTCTTTTCGAGAATTTTTCACCCATAATGTAAAAGTTTCACCTATAATGTAAAAGTTTCACCCGATCGCTCTGTGTCATTATAGCTTCGTGTGCGTGGCACTGACCCCGTATGCTTTATTACCTACCTAATCTAACCACACAGGTCAGTGGACTAGACCATTTTATACAATGGGGGAGTGGACAGGTTGACCAACACAGGCATATACGTGTAGAGGGGTGGTCCTTGGTACAAGTACAAATCGATTATATTTTGTTTAGCCTCGGCGGAGGTGTGCGTTCTCTGAGTGGTTTCTAGTTTAATCTGGCACACTATGGACAACGTAAATTTTCACATCAAAATGTTGAGTTTTATTAATGGGGGTTTTGGTGAAATAACCACGCAAAATGGTGATATAACCAGCCATAGTTTTTCCAAGCCGCATGAACGGTGTATCCCACATCCGCACTATTTCTAATGTTTCCCAATCGGTTTTTAGGGGAACGTGGAGTCGCAAAATGTTGGCAGACTATTGTAAAAATTAATTACAGCCATTTGTAGACACAGATTTTCCTAAGTGCACTGAAAATATTCTTCCGTGATGTCACTGTTAGCTCTCGGGGAAGTTTGTCACTATGAACACTCTCTGCGCTCTGATCTGATGCGGTGTTAAGTGACACTGAACCAAGAGCCTTTGTCCCTCCAACTTTCTTACGGTGAATGGCAAATGCAACTTGAAGCCATCCACTGCAATACTGAAACTCTCAGGTATCGGGGCCGGCTAAAGAGAGTGTAAACAGTAACTGTTGAAACGGAGCAGCATACGAACGATGTTGCAAACAACGCCGTGAAAGCTTCAGTTAAGTCTTTAGAGTACCTGCATGCCACATCACAGAACATGCGGTATACCTGCATACCAACTTCAACTTGTTTTCACCAAACATGTGTTTACACACATTATCCCTTAGGCTATACTTATAAGTCCAAGTATTGGAGTAATCTGCGATGGACTGGCATCCCATCCAGAGAGTCATGGGTTCGAATCCACCTGTTGTCCATAAGTTGTGTCTTTGGGGAAGCCACTTCACTCCCTTTACTTGCCTCTGCCCGCCCAGGAGTAAAAATTGGTGTACATGTACCAGCATTGACTGGGGAGTACCCTGCGATGGACTGGCATCCTATACAAGGGGAAATAGAATCGTCTCAGCCTTTCCATGCCACTGTAACCGGAGATAAGCGCCGGCCTGATGGACAATATTGGCTCGTGACAGACTTGACTTTACTCTCGGAAACACTAAACAGTATCGCGAGCAAAGTTTACTTTCATCTCCACAAACAGTCATCTTGAGATGTTCGCCTGCTTGTCGATCTAAGATTGGTTTACTTTGCTCTGGGAAAAGTGGCTGGCTTCCTTTCGAGTCTGTTTGTTCGGAATCTCACAAAGCGATCTTTAATTAGTCGGCAAGTCTTTCGAGGATTGTGTTTTCCTTTTAATTCATTGCTCAGATTGCATCTCAATGGTCACTTTCGGCGTGGCCCAATGAGCAAATTACCTGCTTAAGGAGAGCATCTATCTCCATTAGACGTGCTCAGAATGAGTTAAATATGCCCGCCATCCACTGTCTCTATTGGTAACGACATTCAATTGCAGCAATATAG